CAATAAAACATATACGCTATAACTTCACATTGACTTGAGACCTGTTGATAAAGCAAAAGCTTACTTTCAATGGGAAAAGGTGAGCTTCTGCCTATTAACCCTTACATATTCCGCAATTTGATGGTGAGCTCTTTACTATTTTTTGACGTGTTTTCCATCGCAAGCGTGCATCTAATATCATAACAAGGTACATTGCCTCGTTAACTGGAGTTTCAATACCGTTAACGTAGGCTGGTATGTATTGATTTTTCCGGTTGGCGAAGTCCACGTGTACCGATTTCTCTTTATTTAACATCATTCTCCACTTTTTTCGTCCATTTATAAATTGGGGGAAATGGAATTGATCAATATACGAGTTGATTGAGCATTGCTTTCTCCAACCGCCATAATCGTATCGTCAGCAAACGTTGCCGTAGTATTGTCCTCGTTTTCTGGTAGATCGCTAGTGAAGAGATACAAGACAGGGCCTAATACACTGCCTTGTGGTCCTCCAGCAAGGATCGTTGAGTTTGAAATAAGACTCTTCTGGGTTAATTCTGAAGAAGTACTTGTCAGCAAGGTAGAATTCAATCAATTTTGAGTATTTATTTTATAATTAAGACCTTATGCAAGATTTAATCGAGTGATTTGGCAGAAAAACAACCGAGCATACTTTTTTTCAACTGGTTGTTAATTATTCGAGTTATTCAGTGAATGAGGAAAATCGTAGTCACGTAGTAATTGTCAAAACCCAGATTTCGGTATTATTTTTTTTCTCAACAATGATTGTCCTCTTAAGTTGAGAAATATGCCTATATGATTGGTTTACCTGATTTAGATTTATTATGATGACCTCAGCGATCTTCTGACGGCGGCATTGATGATCTTATTCATCTGGACTGATTTTCTAGGCAACTGTTTGAAAATTCGGCCCGTAATTAGGTCATATCTAGACGCTATTTTTGGATTGATTTTAGTCTTGATAATGATAGTCTTCTTTGATAGACACTGTAGGAACTGATTCACGTCTGACGTTTGAGTTATCATATAGCGTCGTGTAAATCATATTATGCACGGAATTACCACATTCTTCTTAGCTTTAAAGTTTTTATCGAATGATTTTTCGTTATATTTTTACTTCATGTGAACTTCAAAGTAAAGTGCATCCCACCTCATCTCGAAGGCTTTCAAATTTCTAACGCTAATAATGTCCTTACTCTGCTTTTTTACCAGCTCTGCTACTTAAATATTGCTATGGATAAGCATGAAAATAAACAATGGATTCTCCATTGTCAGGATGATAGAATAGCACAGTAACTGGTCAATGATGACGGCGATCCTCAGAAAAGCGTCTTACAGAGAGAGTAAACTATTCTTAGAAGAGTTCACTAATTGACTAATTGACTTGAATTTACAAATTCTTAAATGCTTTTCAAACGTCAAGGGAAATACCATGAATATTTTGTAAAATTGTTTTATCCACATATAAATTATTGAATAAAACTATTTTGTATAAACCTTTTTTAAATATTTTATTGGGCGTTCTAATCATAATTTTTATCATTTTTTACGTTTACAATATAATACTTAATAATCAAACAGAATAAAATTTAAATTGTTACTATTTACAATATTAAATTTTAATAGAAAAATCAACAGACTAGATAAAGTTATATCGCATTTTTTTAAAAATCAAACTTGATTCTTTAAGTAATAAAATCTGTCAATTAGTTTTATTTTCTTAATTATCCTCCCTTTACAGTGGAAAAAACAATGCCGTAGCTTCCCTTGTTTCCTTTGGGTTTTCAGATATGGGCTTATAAAGGGCTTTTGCTCAGCTTTTAAAAGGGCTTTTACCCGTCGAACAATGTGGTATCTACTATTCTCCTGGAGTTTACATTGTCCATTATGTTCTCAGGGCTTTTCTGCCAGCATGCGAACTTTCTTTAAACTGCCCTCAACCTTTCTCTGCAGACACTAAGAAGTACTTTTGTTTCTTTCATGAGGATCAGGGGCAATCGAAATAAACGGCCTGATTCGTTGTACAAAAATTACCGGAAATGTTGGTTTAATAATCTCTGTTTCAGATTTTCATTTATGATTTTTTCAAACTTGAGAATAATTAAAACGCTAAAATACATAATAACAGTAAGAACAATAACAACAACAACAGTATTTTAACAGGCGAAAGCAAAACAGAAAAAGCAGCAAAAAGTACACTTCTTTTTGAGAATAAGCTGTCCCTTATGCAATATTTCTGTTGGACTTATCTTTTTTTTATATTCTTGTATACATTTGTTACATGACATTATAAATTATATTTTATTTATCAAAATTTATTGTATCATTTCCTACTTGGTCTAGAGAAACTAATAGTTATATAGCAAGAAAACTTAGCGCTAGTAGCCTATATAAAAATTGTTGAGAGTATTTTATTATAAATATTAACAATATAGTAAAAAAGTTATNAAGAGAGGGAAATAACTCCCTCAAAAATGGCACCATCCCGTTTAATAAGTGGGGTAGTTTCCACACTTCCAAAGCTAGATAGATGGCATTTATAGTTGGAATAGCATTTTAAATTTAATATTTAATAATACACAACAATATACACTCAAGAAAAAATGGACACTCGTATTTTGTTGTTTATTTTAAACTATATGTACTTTTATATCAAAAAAACTTTAGTAGCCTATATAAGAATTTTTTAGAGTAAATATAGTAATAACAATATAGTAAAAAGGTTATTTAGATAAATAAATACAATAATAAATAAAACGTGACATACATAGAGGTCAGAATAAAAATGGAATAACGTATGTAATTATTTATGCCAGAAAAATGTATACAGAAAAAAAAATCAGAAATGTAGTTTTTTGAAAAAAGTAATTATAAAAAATTACTTTTATTTTATAATAGTTTTTTTACTTATGCGTTTTAAATTATTTTTTTATTTTATTGTTTACTTTTATTCTTTGATAAAAAACAGCATTTGCAATTAAGGAGGTAGAAATTGTACACTTTCACGGCTCTACAGTTATACTAAACCGTCATGATTTGCCGGTCGAGCAAAACTAAAGAACTGAGCGCCGTTTAATAAGTGGGGTAGTTTCCACACTTCCAAAGCTAGATAGATGGCATTTATAGTTGGAATAGCATTTTAAATTTAATATTTAATAATACACAACAATATACACTCAAGAAAAAATGGACACTCGTATTTTGTTGTTTATTTTAAACTATATGTACTTTTATTGTTAACATTAACTTTTATTTATCAACGCATATTTCACAAACAATTTATTACCTAGTTTCGTTCTTAATAATGCATATCACCTTCTTTTGCTTCTTAAAGGGCCTTAAATCTTCTAGATATCAACTAGTCTTCGATAAACTCAAAGTGTTGTTGGATGATGGAGGTTGCTTCGATAAGATTTGTTGAAAAACAGAATTGCAATTGTGGTGGTGTTCAATTCAGCAGTGTAAATTATATAAATGATAGGACCAATAATTCTCCATTGTGAGATACCCATCTGCTTGTATTGGTCTCATATCTAAGTATTTATTGCCAACACAGCATACGTGATATAAGGGTGGGTGGGAAACGTTTAAGTTTATAAATGAGTAAGTTCACAACCCTTAGGAAAATTCCAGGCCAAATTCAAGATTGTACCCAAGTAATACTCTTTGTTCTCTAGAACAGAAAATGGAGTCTGACTCGGAAACCTTGACAAACAAAAAATAGCATAATATATTTATAATCGTTCTTTCTCATTTGCGAAGATGGTGAAGTATTATATAAAGTCTCATTTGTTTAAGAAGTACCAGTATCTTAACAGGCTAGAGCAAAACAGACAAAGTAAAAAGTTTACTTTTTGGAGAATGAGCTGTCCTGTATGCAACATTTCTGTTGGGCCTATCCCTTTTTTTATATTCTTTTATAAATTTGTAATATGACAATCTAAATTATATTTAATTAATAATAATTTGATGTATATGGTCTTGAAAAAATAATAGTTTTATATCAAGAAAACAAAGCGATTATAGCGTATTATAAGAATGTTTGGGGGTGTTTTATTATAAAAAATAATAATATAGTAAAATATTTGTTTATTTAAATAAACACAATAATAAATAAAGCGTGGCATACATAGAGGTGAGAATAAAAATGCAATATGTAATAATTTATGCCAAAAAAATTTATACAGAAAAAACAAATTTTTTTGATAATATAATATAAAGTATAAAGTATATTTATGCTTTTTTTTTCTTTTTTTTTTACTTGTGTTTAATTTTTCCCTTTTATACTTTGATAAAAAAAACAGCATTTACAATTAAGGAGATTGAATTTCAACACTTTCACTAGTTATACTAAACTAAAGAACTAAGCGCTGTGTAATGTATGTATTTTTATATTATCGTAATATTAATTACAATACATGTCACAAACAATTTATTACCTAGTTGTGCTCTTAATAACGCATAACACCTCCTCTGGCTTCGAGGAGGGTCTTAGTCTCCAAGATATTGATTAAATGAGAAACCGGATTTCGTCTTGGGAAGCAGACTCCCATTCTTCAACAAGACCAGTTTGAAACTGTTCAATGCTTGTAGAGGAGGCAAACTATGTTTGATCCTTCTATTTATAATGATATAGATACAGAACAGGGTGTACAGTTATAATAGCTCTCAAAGTGTGCACTCTATTACATCCTAAATTTTACAATCAGGCATTCTAATAAACAAGCAATATATTTATAGTCTTTTCAGTGAAAAAGTCAGGTTTCCACAAATTTCAAGTGATTTGCATGTTACTATCAACAAGAAATGTTTTACGAATTCTCACACCCAGCACGACCTCTCAAAAAATAATGAAGAAAAGAAAAGAATAATTTACCCTCAAAGCTCTGGACAGGAATGCAATAGATAAAAACCTGCTTTTAAAAAAATAGGGAAACAAAAGTTGGCAAAGGGTAAAAAAAACAGTCAAGTAATAAAAATATATATTTAAAATACAAAACAAATGAAAAGAAGTCTCTTAAAAAGTTATTTTTTACAGCATGAAACAATTTCAATCTTTTTTTTTCCGCCACATGTTAACAACAGACAAAAACCTACATCACTGAAATAGAGGCAGAAAGAAATATACTAAATTATATACAAAAAATTTCATTAAAATATTTACAACAAAATTCACTTATAGTAATGAACAACTTTTAAATTCACATTTTGTTTGCACTTAAAACAGTCTGGGCACCTCATGATCAATGGATTCTCGGATCCAATCATATAATTCATTATGGGCATTAAACAACCTATTAAATAACATTCAAAAAGATAGTTAATACATACTGTGAAGAGTTTTTATTTTTGTCGCCATGTGTTAATTATTGAGATCATTTTAAAAACTCTGTTCAACATTTACTTTTCAAAAATTTAGTTAAATAAGATTGACGTCTAATAGTAAAAATAATAATTTTTCTATTAAATATACTAATATTGTTTTTAAATAAAACCACGGATCACAGTGGAGCTGGAGTAGGCACACTCATTAACGGTGATTCGAGATAATCCAGATTTGGTGGTATCGATGGCGGTTCTTGCTGGCTGCCTATTTTTTCTTGAAGTGCATCATAAAGTTTATGAACTGCATCATTATTCTATAAAAAAAAAAAAATAAATAAGAATATAAAAACTCTAGATAGAAAATTGTAAATATTGTAGAAGCTATTCAAGCACAAAGGCATAAATTTTATTGGTTTATATTTATGAACTTGCACTGCCATTGTGGGTCTTTCAAGTTCCAGAGAATAGTTTTTTTTCACTTGTGCTGACTGAATTATTCATTTTTTTATCTAACTTCCAATGTATTTCCTCTGCCAGTCTTCCTCGAATGAAAAGTAATTTTTTATTTGAACAAAAATGTAATTGTTATTGCTCACTTTGGAAATAAAAAAATGCGTGTGGCTATTTAGATCTACTGATCAAGGTCAAGGTAATAATTTTTCTCAGAAACTTTTTTTAACCAAAATAAAATTGTTTCAGCTCATTTTGGAGATAAAAAGATGCGAGTCTAATTGGACCCACTGATCAAGGTCAAAGTTATAATTTTTGCCAGAACTTTTGTATATTTTTATTTACAAAAATGTAATTGTTTGGGAGTTTGGAGATTAAAAAATGCCTGGGTCTATTTATATAATTTACTAAGTTATGATTTTTTCCAGAACAATTTTTTTTTAAACAAAAATGCAATTGTTACTGTTCATTTTGGAGATAAAAAGTTGCCTGGGTCTATTTAGACCCACTGATCAAGGTCAAAGTAATAATTTTTTCCCAGAACTTTTTTGTTAACAAAAATGTAATTGTTTTGCTCATTTTGGAGATTAAAAACATGCCTGTATCTATTTATATAATTTATAGTTACAATTTTTTCCAGAACAATTTTTTTAACAAAAATATAATTGTTATTGCTCATTTTGGAGACGGAAAAAAAAAAAGGCCTGCGTCTATGTAGGACCACCGAGATCAAGGTCAACGTTATATTTTTTTCCCAGAATGCTCAGATATGATAACTACTAGGACACACCCTAATCCATTACCCTTCATCAATTGTGCTGTTTTTTATGTTTACACCAAAGCTCTCATTTCTCAGTTTGTATTCAGTTTCTGTGTCAGAGAGCAAGATGTAAGATAACTGTTTTTACGTGCACTGACAATATTTTTAGAGTTTCAGAGGCAGGAAGAACAAAATGCTTTACTAGACTGCCGATGCTGTCTTTGCTCTGACAACGATAATAAATATTTTACCAGATGTTAAATGCAAGTGATTCGTATGTGGCAACCAAAAAAACAAATATAAGTTGAAAAGGGCAACGTAGATAAAAAATAAAATTTTATTATTCAGAGACTATGAGATTGCTCTGGTGTGACGTAGGTTTTAGAAACACATTTTCTTTATCGTGCCAAAGTTTCCGATCTTTATTACGATCATCTTCAAGGCTCAAAGTGTTTGTTTTCTGCGTAATTGTGTCATTCTTGTGTGTAGTGTTGAGAGTGCCCACGACACACAAGAATGGCACAATTACGCAGAAAACAAACACTTTGATCCTTGAAGATGATCTCAATAAAGATTGAAACGTTGCACGATAAAGAAAATGTTTTCCTAAAGCCTACATCACACCAGACTGCATCTCAAGATCTCTGAATAATCATCAACTAATGGTCACTAATCACCACACATAAAATTTTATCATACATACATATGAATTTTTTTATAAAGTGTAAAATTATATAAAGTAAATAAAATTTTAGCATACACATGAATTTTTTTATTTATAAGTCTATGTATGTACTAAATAAATAAACATTATAAAAAAACCTTACTATTGTATTTTTTAGTTAAAAATATTGGGTCTATATGGACCATGGCTGCCCACATTTTTTTTATTTATTTATTTATTTTTATTTATTTATTTATTTTTTAATAACAGTGGTATGTTTATATTTAGACTGCAGTATTGCTTAATAATTTTATAAACTCTTTCAATAGTTAAAAATGAATATTTGATTTAATTATAAAATATTACCTGTGAAGTAGGCGTCAAGCTTTTCATGAGGGTGTAGAGTCTTGCCTGTGGCAATTTTGGATAAATGTACCACAAAAGCTTAAGAATATGCCTTGTCACATTTTCCTTAGTAATTCCTGCATAGAAGAACTCGTCAAAGACAACAGTGCAGAAATCCTCAGTCGCAAACTCATCAGCCATGTGGATCAACAGCGAAACAAGGAAATGAAGGAAAGGATCATCAAAAGCACGTTCGCAGTTGGCCAGGATGCCGAGAACACGCATCAATCCCACTCGATCCCTGTGTTTTGCAGTGTGCAGAGTGTAGTACATAGCTATGATCGCCGCGACGCTCGAGTATTGAACGAAATTCTGACAAGCATCAGGAGCAGGGCCTAGAAACGTACATGTCAACTCGCTCAAACAGTTATATATTTTAAACTTATTTACCGGAGTGCTCGATGATTGTAATCGCAGACTCTCTTTCATCCGGTGGAAGCTTTGCATTAAGATTACGCACTTGATCATCAACCATTAATGACATAAGTGCTGGTAAGAACTTACTCACAATCTCTGGGTCAAGTTTTGGTTCTTTAAACTCCTAAAATTCTCCCCAGTTTATTATTCACACCATAAAAATTAAAAATGTATATTAAAACCAAATGTATAAAACCTACTTGTGAATTTATCATCTCCCACGCGCTCAGACCCAAAGAGAGCATTCGTAAAAGAAGAATTAAAATTGTATTGTCCTAAGAAAATTAAGAACTTTACAATACTTGAATTTTTCAAATATAATTTAAATAAATGGTATAACTAACCCTTGGTAAATTTTCTACGTTTATAAGATGTTGAAGAATCTTCATTGCAGAAGTCGCAAGAAAATTTATTGCATACGGATCACAAAGAGTCATAGAAAGGTCACCAAGAACAGTTTCTTGACCACGTTTAATACCATCCAAAAAGCCCTGTAATTTTTTACTTTACAAAATAATTTATTCATAAATTAATCAAGGGTTGTATACTTTTTTATTTTGACAATGAGGACTATCATCAAGTCTGTCGAAATTATGATTTTACTTTTTTTTTTTTTTTTGGAGGGGGGAGTTCACAGCCCGGGACCTGGACCACCTTACAGTGATCAGCGCCACGCTTAAACATTGTAGCCACTGACCCCCCCCCCACAATTTTCTTATTAATGCATCAAATCCTTACTTGTAGTTCCCTAGATCTTTTGATGTCAACGTTTTTTTCCCTGATACAAGCGTCCAAACACCAAGTAAACTTGTGACAGGGGTCTACAGAGATAATGTCCTGCACTTCTAGATCATGAAGGGCCATTAAGAGTTCAGCTCTTAGAGTGCAGTAGTGAACATTTCTTGTCCTTATAAAAAGCGTCCTTAAGAATTGTAGGACCATATCATACAATTTAACACTTGAACCTATCATATGGGCTAGCTTTTGAACAACTTCACCTTGACGTCTGACCTAAAAAATACAAATTTAATTAATAAATTCTGATGATATGGACAATGTCATTTACTTTTGGAGATGGAGAGAAGAAAAGGTTGGTCAAATTCTGATGGTCGAAGAGTATTAATTCCTTTTCCTTGCAATACTGTGTAAGCAGTGGCGAAACTTCATCACCGAACAAGGACTGATTGTCTTTCCATATCTGACGTTTCACCTCTGTGTCGGTGTCGTTGTATAACTCTCTGTCTTTTACCTTGAAAGAACGTCTTGTAAAAAAGTGTAATTTCAGTGGAAAAACTTTGCTTACAAGAACCCTGAGATATTTGTCTTCTATGTGTGGAATGTTACGCAGAATGCACATGACGATGGGTCGTAGGGCTTTCAGGCGGACGAGCGGAAAACTTTTAGACAGAAGCTCTTTCAATATCTTATCCCTCTCCCTGCCCTCTTTTTGACCAAGCTCGTTTATATGAACAACAAGTTTGTCTCTCAGTTCCTATTAAAATTTTGCAAAAATTAAAACAAAATTGCCACTTAACTATTGAAAATTAAACAAATCATTATCACTGTCAAACTGAATCCCACAAGATCAATAATTTGCTCACTAAAAAAATAAAATAAAATAAACAATTTAAAAAATATATATATATAAAAAACTAGAATAAATGGCCAGTGGTTAACACAAATGGCAAAGGAAACCTGAAGCATTAAAGGCAGTCACATAGTACATAAAGTGAAAGTCTCCGAACACACATCTTTGCCCAAAATATGAGCTCTTTTTCTTCTTTCTTAATTTATCTAATTTTCAATTTTAAATTTCTTAATTTTGGACATAAAAACATTTTTTGTATATTTTTTATTTTCTTATTTTTAATATTCGTATTATTCCTCCTTATGTCCAAATTGAACATAAAAACTGTTTGTTTTTTTAAATGTAAATATATTATTTAAAGGTTTTGAACATCAAAAAATAAATTATTTAAAGTTTGTTTTTCATAATAACTTTTAATACGCTAGTCAAAAGGCAAAACACATTTCCGAACACCTAGCCAAACACTTTTGTTTTTCAAAGTTCTTTGTCTACAAACTGATTCTTTGTTTACTTTGTGCAATATTATCTTAATAGGAATCTGTTTTACTTAGAATGATATTAGACTTCCATATGTTAATACCTTAGTCCACTCGAGAAGTAATTATGAAAATGTATAATGAAGGAAAATCATTTCGTGAAATGGGAAATGTACGTAATAAGCAACCCTTGACAAATCATTACATCATCCCCTGGCATAAGGAGCTTGGTAATGCTAAAAACTGTGTCAAGGCTAGCCAGGAAAATTAAAAACCACCCAAAAGTGTGCCACTCATAGAAGTGACCATCAACAAGTGTCCCCGAAATTGCAGGTATTCTGCATCCAAATTACGCCTCATACAGTACAAAATACTATTAAAAAACCAGGCGGATGCAATCAAAGAAAGAATCCCTTATATAAGCAAGAAGAACAGGGAAAAGCTCCTACAGTTAGACTTAGTACACATGGGACGTTGAATTATGTGATTGATTGTCCACGAGTCCATCTTATTTTAAGAGATAGATTCACAAATGTTTGTTACCCTCTATCCAAAATTACATGATTATTAACCAAAATTTTTCAACTATTTTAGAATGTCAATTAACTCTTGACAATTTCTTGCAATTGATTAAGGGCAATATTTCATCAAGTGTGAGTGATTCCATCCTGCCTGAAGATAAAACACGTAACAAAACATTGATAATGTTGACATTGCATCAACTTTTACAAATACATTGGAGAACAAGTTAAAAGCTGCAAAAATTAGACAAGTTTAAAAAAGCTTAAGAACTTCCATATCATGCTATGCTATACTAATACTGAACTGCTTGACGGTAAAATCGCCTTTAAAATCATTGGAATGTAAAGAATGTAGTGGTTGATGAGAGTTACTTGTGATGGTTATGACAGATATGAAGGAGCTGTAATAAATATAATAATCAGTACCTTCCACGTCCCATAATGCAGGTCTTTTTTCAATTTCTTTCTTTTAAACGTGAAAACCTGCATTATTTTCCGGACAACCCAATTAGTTTTATTAATGAAAAACATTTTTTTTTTTTTTTTCAAAGTAAGAATGTTGGGTTCAAATGCAGGGCCATTGGATTCGAACCAGGGACTTTTACCTTACAGAGATGAGCGCCGTGTCTGCGCCTAAACCGTTGTGGCCATCGACGCCCCAAAAATGGTTTATCAGCGGTAACAAAAAGGAGGGTTGGACCTACAGATTACTGAGATAAAATTTAGACTTCAGTAAATAAACAAATGAAAAATATTTTGCTCAGAGAATTTTTTGCTTGAAACGTATAACTTATATATATAAGTTGTTGTTTCATTTCTAAGTTTTCTTTCTAAATTGAAATTTATTACATGTTATATGTAAATGTTTTTGTTTTGACTAAAGTTTATAGTAGTATTTTTTTTTCTCAGATGCCAGCGACCAGTTAATAGTCCTATCACTCCTCTGAGTCTGGCCCTCTCCAATTGCAGCAGTGAATTTTACAAGCTTTGGAGAGGGTTACCTTTGTAAAACTTTTTATTATCCTCTGACTTAGAATAAGTCATAAATGGTTGGCACACAAACCTATTTCCTATTTACTTCTTAGCCTAGGCAGGCTTATAGAAACTTTTTTGGCTATCATGCCTTGGCTGAATAATTTGTGTGTGTGTATATATTGTACAAAATATACATTGAGCAAATTGTATAGTTATACAAATCTGAAAGATCTGTCAGATCAGGAGGCAGTGTGAAAAGAACAAACAAGTGATGGAACTCTTATTGGGTGGGTTAAGGTAGAAGGTCAAGAGTCCATTATCGTTTTAAAGGCGAGGAGGATTGTAAGAGTGAGACATTGAGGAATGAAGCTAGTGGGTTAGGGTGGAGGGTTAGTTTCGATCTTTGTCAAAAGGGATTTTAAGATCTTTACGGATTGTCTGATTGGTAACATAGAAGGGAGCATTGAGGATACGGTGGAGAACTTTAGATCGAAAAGATTGAATTCGTTAGATGTTAGGTGATTTGGCCGAGCCCCAAAGTTCAACCCTCTAAGTCCAAATAGTTGTGATGAGTGTTTGTAATTTGTTAGTTTGTTATGTATACTTAGTGTTGATTTTTGCCCTAGTTGTTTGAGTAGTCCTTATCTTTTGTTTAGTTATTGTTGCTATTTAAGTAAAGCCCAAGGTAGGTGACTTGGTTCAATGGTGCTATTATCTTGTTAATATGCACTAGTGGACAGGTTTGATGTTTGAGCGTTATAACTAACTTGTTGGCTTTTCGCTTATTCAAGCTGATCAGCCACCTATTGCACCGGGCAGTAATGAGGTCAGATGTTGTTGTATTTCTTCTATGGCTAGGGTAGGGTTAGAGTGTGTTGATAAGATTGCGGCTGGTTTGTGTGTTTGGTTGTATGGGTATATAAACAGTGTAAATGGTAGTGCATTTATAAGTATGTTGGGTTCGAATGCAGGGCTGCTGGTTTCGACTCTGGGACCTTTATGTTGTAGTAACCACCATGTCAATGTTTAAACATTGCGGCCACCGACTTCGGCACATATGCCAAACATGGGGATTTTAATAAGGTTTGCTTCTATTTCACCGAAGGTGTTCGGAGACTTCTTTAATGAATGTAAACCGTGAACTTGGTTGTTTTTGACTTTCACCAACTGAACATGATTCATGATGAGGAAGAACATGTCAAAATGATTATGATGCTTCATAGAACCTAGCTGCTTAGAGGGTAATGAGTTAAATCACTTACTTCAAGTACAGACGTGTGGAAATCGAGCCTCCTTAAACCATGGAGATCCAGTAACGGTAGCATCTGCCTCAAGGATGGTAACAATATACCGTTCTCGAGCTGTTTAATTACAATTTAACCAAATGTTAAAACGGTCACAAGTTTTGAGGGGGGAAAACCACAAATAATACCTGGAATTCCTCGATGGCTTTCAGAGGGTCCGTACAGCTGGTCAGGGCTTCCCGCAAAGCGATCTGCCCTGGTACTCCCAGTTCTTCAAGTCCTGTCCCTTGCATTTTCAATTCGGAAGAAATATCATAGCATCCAGGTTTCGAAAAAGTGTAAATAAACCGTCTTAGTACGTGTTCCCGGTATTCCGTAGATGGACGCCTCCGGGAGGTTACGTAGATTACAAAACCTGCTCTACCTGTATCCATGAGGCCCGTGACGCCATTAAAAAAATACATGTGTAACTAGTAAAACAGGTTTCAATAATTAAATTAATTTACAATTATAATAATAAACTAATGTATGCACAATCTAAATGGAATAAAACTGCATTTTTTATTTATAGGATAATAAATCCTTTTTAGTTGTTAACGAAACTTAAGTTTATTGCGTGATGTATAACATTCGTTAGGTTCCGTGACGTCATAAATGAAACGTACGTAAATTTTGATTTAAAAAAAAAACAGGTTTCAATAATTAAATTAATTTACAATTATAGTAATAACCAAATGTATGCACAACGTAAATGGAACAAAACTAAATTTTTTATTTATATAATAATCAATACTTTTTAGTTTTTAATGAAACGTAACCTAAGTTTATTACGTGTGTATAACACCCGTGAGGTTCCGTGACGTCATAAATGAAACTACGTAAATTTCTTTAAAAAAAACAGGTTTCAATAAGTAAATTAATTTACAATTAAAATAATAACCAAATGTATGCACAACGTAAATGGAACAAAACTAAATTTTTTATTTATATAATAATGAATATTTTTAGTTTTTAATGAAACGTAACCTAAGTTTATTACGTGTGTATAACACCCGTGAGGTTCCGTGACGTCATAAGTGAAACTTACGTAAATTTCTTTTAAAAAAAACAGGTTTCAATAAGTAAATTAATTTACAATTAAAATAATAAACAAATGTATGCACAACGTAAATGGAGCAAAACTACATTTTTTATTTATTTAATAATCAATATTTTTTAGTTTTTAACGAAACGAAACTGAAGTTTATTACGTGTGTATAACATTCGTTAAGTTCCGTGACGTCATAAATGAAACGTACGTAAATTTCTTTAAAAAACGTTTTCAATAATTAAATTAATTTACAATTATAATAATAAACAAATGTATGCACAACTTAAATGGAGCAAAACTACACTTTTTATTTATTTTATAATCAATATTTTTTAGTTTTTAACGGAACGAAACTGAAGTTTATTACGTGTATATGTAAGCGGGTCACTTTTGTTTTGGGCCCAACCCTGAATTCGGAGAACCGAAAACAAGGTCCCATAGGTTTTTTTATGATCGGACCTGACTACAATTATTTTAATTTAATGATCAGGCACCTTTTTTTGATATATGAAAATTCAATATTCAATTCAAACCAAAATAAATACGAGACCAAAATATTAATTAAATTTAAATCTTTTATTACAATTTATTTTCAAATAAGATTACAATTTCTTTTATTAATTATTATTTCTAATACAAAGAATCTTTTATTTTATAATAAAACCTATTTCAAAATCTACAAACATTAATTTTAAAATCGAATTTAATTCTCGTTTTATAAAGAAAAGTAGAAATTATTATTAATTTTTGACCACCAATTAGAAAAATACAATTAATATTTTAACATAACTTTTAAAATCAAATGTTCTCTTTTAGTTTTATTTATAAAAATTTAGTTTTTGTTACAACCCTTTTAAAATTAAAATACAATTATTATTTTTTATTTTAACGTCAAAATATAAAATTTACTCACTTGAATTGCGTGCACACCAAATTTTTTTTTATTACAAATAAACAGCTCATTAAAACCCATGGAGGACAGAAAGGGAATTGTTTTTAACTGAAAAAATAGCCCTTACCTAGCCCCTACTCCTTTCACTGTCAGATGTGTGTGGAGGGGCATGGCGGTACAATCAAATCTAAACGTGACATATGTATAACATCCGCGATGTTCCGTGTCGTCATAAATGAAACGTACGTAAATTTCGATAAAAAAAAAGCAGGTTTCAATAGTTACATTAATTTACAATTACAATAAATGGAACAAAACTAGATTATTTAGTTATACAATAATAATTACTTTTTAGTTTTTAACGAAACGTAACCTAAGTTCATTACGTATGTGAATATCTTCCGTGAGGTTCCATGGCGTAAATGACACATACGTAGACTGTTCAACTTTATTACCATTTCATATAAGAAATTTTGACATATTATTTTATGTATGTTTTAAATTTTATTGATATATAGACCACCGTTGTAGACCACATAGCCTCAACCTTTAAGCTTAAAAATACTGCAGGGGACCTCCGAGATGTGACCCATGTTCGACCGCCTGTGGCAAGATCTGTACCCTGTATCTAATACTTCGATCTTACTTCGCAGGATGATTCTTCCGACTACTGTCTTCTGGGAGCGAGAGTATCACAGGGCAGTGTTCGCGGACCTCCTCTACACTTCAGCCATCTCAATCCCTGCCTTCCTTGCATCCTATGCAGATGACACTGCCTCTGATCACGATCCTGCAATTGTCTTGGAAGAGTTTCAGGCACACGTCCAACGAAGAGCCGAATGGAGCCAAGTGTAGCTCCCATGTTATATGTCTCTCCGAAGCAAAACCCGAAACATAATATTCTTCAATAACAATCCTAACCCTAAAATCGATTTCGTAAATCCTTTGGTTCTTGACTTCTTCTTGAATTCAATTGCTCGTATTTATTTAAATTTAAAATAGTTTTGAAGTGGTTAGAAAATGAGAGAATTAAAAAAAAAACATTTTTAAAGATTTTGAACCTTGGAACAAAACATCTTCGCCCCTCTATACAAAAAGTGTCTAATCATTATATAAATAATTGTATATAACGTTTTATAACTCAGCCAATTTATAATTAATTTCAGCCATGACCCAGGTAGAAAATAATAAAATCTAAAGTATTAATATTAATAAAAATATTTATCTAATTAAAACTGTTTATTTGGTTCGGTGCATTGCCATTATTCCATGTTAATAAGTCCATTCAATTTTTATTACATTTTCCAATTTTAAGGGGAAAAGATTTAGATTCGTCCAAGACCCGCATTGGTTCTAGTAAATAAAAAAAACATAGATAACATAATTCTTTTTTCACGTTAGATTGTATTACTTTCCAATTCGTCGATAGTCGTCCATTTTTAATAACTTCAATGACAGAAGGCTTTTATTTTTTCGCCGGCTAGCACATTCCCATGGCTAAATGCATTCGAAAAAATAGATTTTTAATAGATCGATAAAGATTTGTAACAATTTGCCTTTTGAAATCGGCAAGATTAAAAAGAAAAAAAAACAATTCCCCCTTCCACAACGGAAGAAACCGAGGCATCCGTTGTGACCTTCTCAGTGGGCAATTCACCGTGGCCTAGAACACATCTAGGAACGCCGGATAAATCCATGTAATACGCGATCCGTACAAATATTTTCCGAGTAAGTCTTCTATGATTTTTATTTTATTATTATTGCAAACTATAAGAAATAATTTCCTACAGACAATTCGAAAATTACCCTCGCGTATAAAAGATTTTTGGTTTGGTCATTTACGTTTCGGCCTGTCAGACGCGTTTCGGCATCTACCCATCTTCAGTAGTTATTGGTGGGTGTATTCGAATCAAAATAATTTTGTATATAATAATCCAGATCGGAATCTACAACAGGCACGGTCTGTCATACCAATTCAGCGATGACTGGCGGACCAAAATGACCGAAAACTACCATAGTACATAGTTTTTACCTAGCAGACCCAAAGAGGAAATTACAAAATTTAGCAAAATTGTAACATTGTTAGACACAGAACCTATTTTTGATAGTAATTTTCCAGAAAATCAATGTTCATAATTTTATTTTCCAAGTCATCAATTAATCATCTTAAACAGCGATAATAGGCGGACCAAAATGACCGGAAACTACCATAGTTACAGGTTTTCACCTCACAAACCAAAGAGGAAATTTCAGAATTTAACAAAATGGTAACACTAATAGACTTAGAGGTTAGTTTTGGGAGTAATTGTCCCAAAAATCAACGTTCGTAAGTTTATTTTCCAATATCAATTAATCAAATAAACAGCGATGATTGGCGGACCAAAATGACCGGAAATTACCATGGTACATAGTTTTCACCTCACAAACCAAAGAGGAAATTTCAGAATTTAACAAAATGGTAACACTAATAGACTTAGAGGTTAGTTTTGGGAGTAATTGTCTCAAAAATCAACATTCATAAGTTTATTTTCCAATATCAATTAATCAAATAAACAGCGATGACTGGCGGACCAAAATGACCGGAAATTACCATAGTACATAGTTTTTACCTAGCAGACCCAAAGAGGAAATTACAAAATTTAGCAAAATTGTAACATTGTTAGACACAGAGCCTATTTTTGAGAGTAATTTTTCAGAAAATCAAAGTTCATAATTTTATTTTCCAAGTTATCAATTAATGATCTCAAACAGTGATGCGTGACGGACCAAAATTACCAAAATTTACCTTAGTATATATTTTTCACTTTGCTGACCCGAAGAGGAAATTTCAAAATTTAACAAAATGATAAAATTAATGGACTTAGAGCCTAGTTTTGGGAGTAATTGTCCAAAAAATCAATGTTCATAATTTTGGTTTCCAAGTTATCAATTAATCAAATAAACAGCGATGACTGGTGGACCAAATGACCGGAAACTACCATAGTTACCGGTTTTCACCTCGCAGACTCAAAGAGAAAATTTCAAAATTTAACAAAATGGTAACATTAATAGACTTAGAGGCTGGTTTTGAGAGTAATCGTCCAGAAAATCACTAGTTTACGTAAAGAATAAATTGATTTGCACTCGATCTCTCAATCAATTTAAATCAATCATCCACTCATTCACTGAGAAAAATGTGGAAATAATATTTTAAGATATATGGTATACGTTTACTTAAAGGAAAACATTCTTACATTCACGTTTTGTACAATAACTTTATCTTACAACCACTAATTATCACTCGCTCACTCACTAAGTTATGCAAAGAGAATGATAATGAAAGTCGTGCAGACAATGAGAAAAGTACAATGCGTTATTTTCTATATTCTATTTTCTCAATATTCTATTATTCCTTTCCTTTATTGTTTAAATTTTTATTTTGGGTTGGATTTGTTCGTTTAGTTTCGTAAAGAATTTATCCTGCAATCTTTCCAAATGCATATGACTTTTGTATGAAACTCTTCCAATGATTTTTTAATTTATTGTTAGTAATTAGGTGGATGGCAGTGATTGGAGAGGATGTCCAACTCATATTTATCCGGCTATCCCGGCATATCCCTCGGAATTTTATTTGAGATTAATGAAGAGAATTGTAAAATTGTTTGACTGGTTGGTGACAAAAAATGTGTAGGAGGACGTTAAGTCCTTTTGTATGACAGGAATTACTTTATTTTACTTACGACCAGCCGATACCAATGAGCAGGCGGGAGAGGCGAATTAACTTCAACTTATAATCATTGACAAATTTAATTTAAATCATTAAAATAAAAATCTGTGGATACCAGTAACAAAATAACATAGAAAAGTTCGCATATCTCAGACCTCCAGTACCAAACTTTTTCTGGAGGCCCATCTTTCGTCCCCCACCCAGGAGTACCCAACCAACCTAAAAGTCACGTAAAACAACTTGTACTGATTTGTACTGTAACTCAGGAATTTTTATAACTACTAAGTTTTGGAATTTTCCCCATGGCATATATTTCCTGAACCACATTTTTCTCCGAATATTTCGAGCATATGTTTTCCCCACGACTTTAATTTTGGATATATTCATCCCACAGATATATATTAGCCTTTAGCCTTTTAACCATCGAACGATTTTTCTTTTGACATGCGTTAAACATGAAACCAATTATTTAGATTTATATTAGCGTTATTGGGGACCGCGGTAGCCGAGTGGTTAGCATGAGAGACTCTCACGCCGCGCTCGTGGGTTCGATTCCCACCGTTGCCCCTGGCCCTTTTTTCCCAATAACCCCCCAAATTTGAACACACATATACGAATTTGTCACATGGCTAATATGCATAGTTCATAACGCCAAAAAAAAAAAAAAAAAAAAAAAAAAAAAAAAAAAAAAAAAAAAAAAAAAAAAAAGCGTTATTGGAGTTATCAAGGCACCTGTGTGCAAAGCTTCTTGTCCATACTCCATTTTTTTTTTAATTATTGCCTTAGCACAACTTTTTGCATCCTAAAAAGAATTGGTCTAATACCAGTGTCGCCTCACCAAGAATTTCTCATTTCAATTCCTATTCTAAGTTCAAAACTTTATTGACTACCCAAGTGACCAAGTAGCTGCCCACAGATATGTGATTTTAAACTGTCCAAGGATCTCTTGGAATCATATAGAAATATTTTTGCAATTTAGGTGGTTTTCGTATTCTTGATTCTGTATGATTTCTATTATTATGTCCAAACAAATAAATTATTATCGCTTCTTATCATACCATTTTACGTTTTAGTGCTGAATTGATCAAGTTTCTTTTTTCAATTCATTATTCTTTATATGTAAGATCTTGGTTGAGATAAAAAAAAAGCCGGTGTCACGAGCGGGATTCGAACCCACGACCTTCGGCTAAATACGCCGCTACTCTACCACTTGAGCTATCGTGACTTCGATCCTCTCGGTCACCAACTCTCCATCTCAACCGTTCAAATTTTCCCTCTTTTTGCCATTTTCAAATGTCGTGTAATCTGGAGAGGATCGAAATCACGATAGCTCAAGTGGTCAAGTAGCGGCGTATTTAGCCGAAGGTCGTGGGTTCGGATCCCGCTCGTGACGCTGACTTTTTTATCTCGACCAAGACCTTATATAAAAAGAAAAACTTCTTATTAGAGCTTACACTAACAAAACGTTATATTAGTCTGGTTCCCTAACTGTAATATTATCAAGGTATTTACAGGATTCATGCAAATATGAACAAAGTTTATTCGGTCTAAATTAACCTTCCTGAGTTAATTGTCATCATTAACAATTTCAAGGTCTGTTTAAGAACCTTAAAGAATTGCATGACTATAGTTACACATATGTGTTTGCCCAATTGATAATAATAAAATAATTTTTAGACATTTTTTAGTTTAGTTATCGATTTGTTAAATATTAGATTTTTTTAAAAAACGTTAAAGTTTTGAGGGTTTTGTTGTGATTTGCAAGTTACAGCTATTTTAAGATTTTTTTTGTTTTTAATTTTAGACACAACGTTAATCTTAGCATTTCAATTTTGTTTTCCGCTCAAGTCCCGTATCTATGTATTGGATTGTAAAATAAGTCCGTAGCGTTTTTTTTTATTTCAAGGAAAATTTCAAGTCCTTTAAAAACAAATTTAATCAAAAATATATGAACCATTTTGTTCCACAACTTGTAGAATTCCGTAATTCCGTCCTAGAATTTCTGTTTTTTGAGCGTGTGTTTTCTGCAATCCTGAAATGAAAGCGGTTTTCCCATTAATAGAATTTCTCATAGACCGGAATAGGTAAAAATCTGAAAGGATAACGTCAGGCGAATACGATGGATGGGGTTGCATATTCTTGCCAAGTTCAAAAATTTCAAGCATGGCGAAGACCCGTGGGGGCGAGCTTTAACCTAGTGGAACCCAATGTCCGGTCGTTTTTGGTCAATTACTGACTTTAATCCGTTTAAGAAGTAATCGTAGATGTAGATGCGGTTCAATAAATTCTTGTCAAAATATGAGGACACTATATATCCCTTTATTCTAGATGCGTAGAAACGCTTATATGACATATTAAATGTCCTGCGATGTCTGGTGGCGTCACAAAAGCATAAATTTGGCCGTCATCAACGCTTGAAGGACGACCAGAACGCTTTGCCTTCCAAATCGTAATCCTTTTTTGAAGAGAGCAAACAAGCGGACAGTGCTTTCTTCTAAACGGCTTCACCAGAGGCGAGCTTTTTTCTTATCGAAAAACTATTAAATGGTGAAAGTGCATTATTCCCTTATGATTTAAATTAACAAAACATCTTGTAAAAATACAAGATCTCGAGAGGATCTGATGAGTAAAAACATTTTAACTTAATCCTTTTTCAGAGTGTGTAAACAATAAAACCAAAACACAAGAGGAAAAATCGAATTATAGAATTATGTTACATCCCAATCCTTTCCCTTTTTTATATTAGCTGAATTAATCTGACTAGTTTATAGTCAGATAAAATAATCAAAAGCCAAGAACCTGTTGAGTTTCTTGCTTCTCACGAAAATCTGTGAACTTTATGAAATTATTTTCGGTCGTATAATACAACAATAATGGTAAAATTTGTCGATAAAAACACAAATTAACTATAATTGCAAGTTTAACTTTTCTGCGAATAAAAATTATCTAGAGATCGGAATTTCTTCTTATCGAGTTTTCGAACAACGATCTATTAATAAAGCAAAGATAAAAATTTATTGAAATTGCCGAATAATTTGTTCCTTTATTCACAGTAATATCACAAATCCCCGTTGAAGTCTGCTGTACAAATAAAAACAAAAAACTATCCAATTTTTCCTATACAGAAAGATTTTAAATCTGGGGCTGTTCGGGATCTTCCGGGCTTCCACGGATCGATGTCGAAAAACATTGCAAGCTATAGCCTGCTTGCTTAAGCAATTAACGAATCATGACATCGGGAAAAATTTTAAAAAGGCAGTTTTCTATCAAAAATTTGACATGTTAATCATGTTTTAACCACTGATTCACCTAGTTACCTCAGTTAAGAATGAAATATCGATAGAAACAACCTTGGATTTCATATTGTCTGCCAAAATCAATATTCAGTAAATAATATGTCCGGAATAAATTTCTTTTTTCTTTGGAAGAGCTGAACTTTTCAGAAACAGGCAAGTATGTCACTAATTGATTATTTAATTCAAATCTAGAAACTTTTGGCGGATCGTATCTCTTATTTTATTACAATACTACAAATAACTTTGTCATTCAGTGCTAGTTATGAGTTACTCATACCTTGAGAGAGAAAAAATTATTTGACCTTATCTTCATCTGCGATTTTCTCTTAGAACGCACTTTAAACTGCTGAAAAGAAAATCGGGTCATTTACAGCGATATAAAAGCTTGAGACAAACGCGGCGACTCCAAAAGTCGGATTACATCCTGAGAAGGTGCATTTGGTGAGATTTTCTTCCGTCCAACCGAACTCCCAGCGTATACTGCCAAGAAAGACACCCACCCTGGGAGCCGTAGCCTACTATGTGTGGAACTACGGCGACGACGGGTGGTATAGTGTAGTTTGAGGCTCGAGACCCCGAAACGGCTCACCTCGAGTTCTCATCCACGGCCCTTTTCTCAATCCGGGTTCCTTCATTCTATCCTGTGACCCCTCCCAACCCTTGGTTGCAAGGGGGGTATCCGGGCATAAAATAAAGGTGTAGCCCAGAGGGCGTGGCAACCTCTCTAAACTAAAGCACAAGCTGTTCTCGTGTCGGCCTAGGGTCGGCATGGACGGCGGGTGCCTTAGCAGAGTCACAAGAGGGCCAGTGCATCAGATCCTGTCTGTATAGACGGAGGAGGGTGCATGGCCAACTGTAACTGAAAAGTTCCAAAATCAACCCTAGTTACACTGGGAATGGTTTCGAGGTGGTGCGTGGTGACGCCCCTGGCGGGAAATTAGACAGAGGCTGTCTTCTATTTGTGACCTTCGTGAAGCTTGCGTATGACTAGCGTTATTACACCCGGCCTCACGGGATACGGTGGACCGGACGACAGCGTATAGGCGTTGAGGACGCGATGATTATGCTGAATAGTCCCTCGAATGCGTGAGTAAGCGGATGGAAACGGGTAGTGAGTCGGCGTCTTTGACTCGAGTATGCTTTGCATTGTTGTGCGTATGACCGGCGTGGTACCCTTGGGGAAGCGAAGGGTCGGACTACCTAGGCTGAGCCTATGGCGTCCCTCTAATGCGCATGGCAGGTGTAGGCTGAGCTCGACAGGAGGTTTTACCGTAGGTGGTGCTCATCTTGGGGGGGTTTAGCAATTCCACTTAAAACAAAACCGCGGCGGTTCCGGGAGTTTCTACGCTATGGGAAGCCCCAATACTCTGGGAGATAGAGTCGCCTTCTCTAGCTAGGGAGTGCGCGGGAGAACAGGCTGATGATTTCGGCTTGCTAGCCCTTTGCGCGCGGCATACGACCGGCACAATGCGGGCCCGACCATTCGGAGTGGACAAGCGGAGAGCGAGGTTGTTCTTGGCCCTTAGGGCCTGGGACGTCTCAACACCAATGCTGCGGCGGTATCACTCTTCCGTCGTATGCGGAGGTGCGTCAGCTCTCATTTTGAGAATCAAAACGTCCGATAAGGCCGAATAGGTCAGATGCGGACGCTAAAGATCCTCTAGTCTTGTGACGACGAGTACTCGGGAACGACATGCCAAGGAAGTGGCAGCCATCTCATCTATAAGACCAGAACCAATACTAAGTGCACAGGAATGTGTGCCTAAGTTGGAACTGGAAAAATGCCTTTAGAAAGAAAAACTCAAGCACTGGACAAAAGCACTAGTTATGCAAGCAAAGAAATTCATAAATCCCTGTTGAGGAAGGCGAAGGGACCTCCTCTCTCCTCTCTCTCTCTCTCTCTCTCTCTCTCTCTCTCTCTCTCTCTCTNTATATATATATATATATATATATATATATATCGCTCAGCAGGCAGGATTTGAGAAAAATGATAGGCCTATATACCGACAACTTCCTTTTAACTATCACCTAATGAAGTTGGGCAACGCTGAAACAGAAACATGACAGGAAGAGAACTATTGAGGCATGTCCATTGTGAAGGCTTTGAAGGATAAAGTGCACTTTCCAAAATATGGTTATAATTTACCGGAGTTCCACAATAGATCATATAGGTGGCAGAAAAGGAAAGGATTTTTAATATCTTCATTCATCTTCCCAAACCTAAAAAAAATCCAAGATGCCCCAGACGAATTAGAAGTTATTGGTGCTTGGCAGGGGTGTGCTACCCCATCTACCGTATCGCCTGACATCGCCCCTTCAGATTTATTCCGGGCTCTGAGATACACTATTAATGAGAAAACTTTACTTCACTTGAAGGCTGCAGGAAACACTTCAAGAAGTTTATCGCTCAAAAACCTGAAAAGTTCTGAAAGGACGGAATAACAAAATTACTCGAAAATTGGCACCAGACAATGGAACAAAATGTTTATATTGTTGATTAATTTGTTTGCAAGTGCCTGATAATTTTGTTGAATTTAACATTATAAAAAAACGTTACGGACTTATTTTACACCCATTGCATTCCAGGACAACTCCTGAGTTTTAAATTTAATTGATGACAAAATTTATTAAATTTTGTAGAATTGTATGTGGAGAAAATAAATTTATTGCCATCTTGCTTATTGATAAAGAAATGGTTCATTTCCATCAAATGAAGCTTTTAAATTGACCAACCTACTGCAAATATCAAGGAAAAGCCTCTTTGCATATTTAAAATTTAAGATAATTCATTAGATTTCGTGGTCTAATTGACGAAATAACATCTTTCAATTAATTAATCTTTACGTAAGGTATTGGTTGAGATAAAAAAGTCAGTGTCACGAGCGGGATTCGAACCCACGACCTTTGGCTAAATACGCCGCTGCTCTACCACTTGAGCTATCGTGACCGTATTTAGTCGAAGGTCGTGGGTTCGAATCCCGCTCGTGACACTGACTTTTTTATCTCAACCAATACTTTTTTTTATTTAAAGATAAAGTTAAAATTCATTAGATTTAGTAATGTTTGCAGTAAGTAAATAAACTATATCTTGTAAAAGAAACGGTAACAGTTCGAAGTTTTATTGTGGTATTTCTCTGCGGTTGTAATTTGTCCATTACCGATTATTTTGGTCCGTCTATCCTCGCTGTGTTAGGATAGGCAGACCACCAGATAACCCGGCCAGTTATAGGTAACCGTCAAAATTTTATTTTGGTGGATTCCGTTAGAATTGTTGCACATTCACTCCAAAGCCATATTTTCTTTCAGTTGCTTTCAGTACAAATTTTTTAAAGTTCTAAAATCTAAAAACTTCATGTCAGTGAAAGAGGTTTTGGAGAAGACGGCTTAAGAAAATGACCAAAGTAGCCAGGTCAGCCTAAATTGTCATAAAATTTACAAATCTGCTTTTTGATCGAACCTAGCTATATTTATTTAAAATGTAACACAATGTCAAAATTTCTATATTATCTCTTTAAAACGCATGGAAATAAATAAATAAAATATTTTGTTTTCTGAAGACATGGGATGCTGTTTGAAGATGTTTGGCCTGGTGACGTTGGTGTCTGCCGTTCTGCTTGGACTTGGTTGGCACTGGCTGACGACGGTTCCGGATGTGCCCAACATCAAAACTGAATACTGGGGCCCAGGTACACCAAAGCCTGACGACAAGTCCATCAGGCCCTTTATAATAAACGTATCCGATGAGGTAAGTTTAATCCAGCTTAGAAATACTTCATTCCGTCTGAAAATAATTTTTTATCGAACTGAAAAATAAGCTGTATTTTCTAACCTACTTTGGTTTATTTAACTTGACTGATCGAAAATATCAGAGAATTTTTAATAGAAAAAAATTTAAGTGAAAAAAGTTCAAATTGCATTGATTTGCTTCCTCTTTACACTCTAATTAACTTCTATACTGTTAAATTTTAATCTTTTTAGTTTATATTCATGAGTAACGTAAATCGAATTAGCATTGAAGTTAAAAAGTTTAAAGTTAGGGCTTTTTTTATCAAAACGAATTTCAGACGATTTTTATCAAATTTTGTTTGTTGATCAAAATTGTTCAAAAAATTTAAACCTGTTGCCAAAGAAGTTCAGAATAATCTTGAAGGGCGAACGATTTGGTTTTGATGTTTCGTGCTGGTCTATAATTAATTTCGTCTTTGGGAGACCAAGATAAGATTATTTTGTCTTGTCTTTTTTTGTTTCATTGTACCCGGACGTAATGACCGAACATTTTCAGTTATTATACGATAGAAACATTCGTCTTGAAAATCTTAAATATAATTACATGTAATAACTAACTTGTAATTTCATCATGTGCCTCTTGTCTCGTGAGAATCTGTTCAAAATATGAACAATTGATATATAATAAACAGATCGTTAGGTATGCAAATAGTTGTAATTTGTTGTCATACGTACGAAAAAAGAAAACAAGCAGTACTATATATGTTTTTATTATTTTTATTTTTTTAATTTTTATTATAAATTTATGCATAAACACATACGACAGTTATTATTCAGAAATCGTGAGATGCGTTCTGGTGTGATGTAGTTTTCAGAAAAACATTTTCTTTATCGTGCCAACGTTTCGATCTTTATTGAGATCATCTTCAGGGCTTAAAGTGTTTGTTTTCTGCGTAAGTGTGCCATTCTTGCGTGTCGTGTTTGTGTTTGTTTTTTATTTATTTTTTGTTTTTTCTGTTTTTCTGAAACCTACATCACACCAGACCGCATCTCACGATTTCTGAATAATCATCGACTAACGGTCACTAATCACACATATGACAGTGATACGTTACATAAAAAAAACAAGCGTGAATATGAGTGTGAATGTGAGCCCACTCGTGGGCAACAATCAGCAGCCTCTTCGTCTTCCTAGGGGGTTGGGTTGGTAGGGTAACAGTGGAAAAAGTCATGGGGGTTGGAATTAACAGATAATTTGGAGTCCAATTTGTGGCATCTTGATTTCTGAAGGCCTGAGTGTAGAATGTAATTTTTAAAAAAGAAGGCGCATCAGTTCCAGTAAGTCTACGTTGAAGTACTGTGTATAATTATTTATTCATTTTAACTCGCGTGTACGGATTCCATATCAATCTTTTGTTTATGTTCAGTCCTAAGTATTTAAAAGAAAAAATTGGGAATTGTTTTAATTTATTTTTATTTTCCATTTAAATAAGGTAGTCTTGGAGGGGTCGAAATGTTAAATGGTGGTTTGCAGAGAATTGCTTTGTCGTCAGCAAGGGTAAGAGACTTGTATTAGAGTGTTGACGGAAGTCTACATGTTGAAAAGTAACCGACCTCTGACGCTCCCTTGAGAAACACCTAAGAGTTCAGTTGGTAACGTAGGATTTAAGGATGTGACAGTTTTATTATTGTACTAGAAAGGAAAGATTTAAATATCAGCAGTAATCCATGGCCCCAGACGAGATCGAACGCATTGGAGATATCAAGAAAAACTCTAGAGCAGAACTGTTTACGTTCATACGTACATCTTTAATTACTGTTTTAAGAGTCGTAGAAATATTGAAGATATCTTGATGGTTTTATGCTTAAATGTTTAGCCAAATATTTTGAGAAGAATCACGGCAAGTGATGAAAAATATCAACGTATGCAAGGAACAACAGCGAGATCGGAAAGTCTCAGTACTTTGGCGTTTTGCACCACGTGCATGTTGAAAATTGGCAGAACTATTGATTGCGTCAATAATAACATGCTACAACATGCCAAGTCTTGACTTTTGTGATTATCACAGACGAATCATTTGAAAAGGTTTAAAGTTTTGCCTCACCCTGATTATAACACAGATTTTGTATTATCTTTTGCTCGAGCAGTGGACGTTAGTTTTTTGCTTTGATATACAACGAAGAAGTAAAATTATTCAGTTTTATATATTTTGAGTTTTGATCTTCGATGATTAAATTGAAAAAATATTCTAGTATGAGTTTATCCTTTAGTTGCCAAAAATCTTCAAATTTTGATGTCTTTTGCAGTTTAATCAGTGTTTTCGCAGGAAATTCAGAACTGTTGGGCTTTGGCAAATGAAGTTTAAGTCTAGTCATAAGCGTCAATTTGCTTGAAAACCAAATTATTTCCAATAAATTCAGCTAATTTAAGAGACAAAGCCAAATTAGGCAATCGACATTTTTGTCTGCCTATCCTTGATGTTTATTGAATCCGGTTGATTATTTAAAAAAATCCACCACCGAGGATGGCGAGAAAACAGACTTATCAGCAGTTGCCAAAGGAAACTCAAAATAACGAAATATCAACAGTTCGATAGGATAACTTTATTTTAGACTTAGTGCGAGAATCGCTTTTCATAATTTTGTTTTTCAGGTAATTAACGACCTTAAAGATAGGCTTGCGAAAACCAAACTGACCAAGCCTTTAGAAGGAGTTGGCTTCCAGTACGGCTTCAACACGGGCTACTTAGCAAAGATCCTCGATTTCTGGAGGACCAAATACGACTGGAAAGAGCGCGAAGTCTATCTGAACAAGTACCCGCAGTTCAAGACGCAAATCGGCGGACTTCAGATCCATTTTCTCCACGTCAAGCCCGACCCTAAGAAAGCCAAAGGTAAATACTGCCAAACGACTGCCTTAGAGTAACGTAAGCCCTTACGAACTTTATAAAAATCAGCATAATTGAAGTCAAACATACAATAAAAAAGAGAATTCTTTTTAAAAATATTTATACACACCTTCCCTGTCGTTTTTGCCATTTATTATTAAAACTTGCAATCAGGCAATAACAATGTATGACATGGACAACAATTAAATATCTAAAGTGGGTGAAACAATTTTCAATAATTGCTCTGAAGATATAATTGTGTAATTAATCCGAAATTCCGGCTAAGTGAAAAACACTCTTATTTCCTACATAGTAGAGTAAAAAAACATACTACGAAAATTATTGTTTTAAGTTTTAGGACAAATTTGTAAATATAGTTTCTTTCCGATTTCCCATCGTTCGACAAAATCAATTTAGTGATAATTAGTTATTTTTAAATTAAAATTGTCGGCAATTAACAGCACTTGCGTCGGATCCTTTAGAAAGGTAAGTGATTCTATATTAATAATAATAATAATTCCCTAATTTCGTGGTCCGCTTGACCAATTAAATCATTACAATTAATTAAGGGTTTTAGTCGAGATGAAAAAAGTTAATGGCACGAGCGGGATTCGAACCCACGATCTTCGGCTAGATACGCCGATGCTCTACCACTTGAGCTATCGTAACCTCAATCTACTCGGACATCAACTTCCTATCTCAACCTCACCTTATGAGTTTCCCTCCTTAGATAGGATATAGGAAGTTGATGTCCGAGTGGATCGAGGTCACGATAGCTCAAGTGGTAGAGCAGCAGCGTATCTAGCCGAAGATCGTGGGTTCGAATCCCGCTCGTGCCATTAACTTTTTTTCATCTCGACTAAAAACCTTAATTAATTATAATAATAATAATTGTAATAAATCTTAATGAAAAGAAATCTCACAATGGAAAATACAAATGATAATACAGTTTCTGAATTCGAATTCGAATAATAAAAAACTTTTAAAAAAATTACCACGTATTTATAAAATGAAATTTTTATACTTCCATTACAATCTACTTTCCATGTGTATAAATAATTGTGCCGGATATCAGGAGTCGTAAAATTAACGACTTTTTATTATAACAAAACAAAGAGAAAAAATATTAGTTTAGAAAAAAAGACGGAGAAACTTAATCCCTTGATTAAGCCGCTGGATTCGAACCCGGGACCTTTACCTTACAGTGATGAGCGCCGTTTCAACGCCTGGATGGATTTATACAGGCACATAAAGGGAACGTAAAGAGAACGAGCCGAGCCCGTAACGAGTCGTTGGAAACTTTGCTTTCTTGTTTTTTTTTTTTATTTTATACAAAGACGAGGCCCGTGCGATTCCCGGCAGATTCCCACTCAGTTGTCGTCGCCAACGATTCTGCTGAGGTTGTCGTTCAATACCCGTCAGTGTTCTGTTGAAAGAATTCGTTCGTTTTTTCAGGTAATCAATGCAAAAATAGATGGACGAACATTAGAGACCATTTTCGAAGATATATCCAAAAGCGGACAGGCTGCTGAAAACAACACCAAAAAATAAAATATGAAGATCAACTGAAGTTAAATTCGCCGTGCATTCTGCGGAGTTTCCATGCTGGGTGGATGGACACTCTGCATTTTCTTCGTTTTCTTCGTAGGAGTCCATTTCTCCTCCTCCTCCAACAAAGCTGCTATAGTAGCCAAAATTTCAATCGAAAAATGGAACTGCGACATGCTTGCAACAACGCAACATGATCACAACTGAACAAAGTGTGGCAATTCACGTCACGTTCCCTTCACGTGTCTGTATAAATCAACCTTAAACCGTTGCTGCCACCGACGCATTCCTTGTATAGTAACTTTGTGTTTTATTTAGGGCACTCTTAATACAATACTATAATTATTATTATAATTTTTTCACAACCTACATGTATTCGTATAATATAAACATGTTTATGAATCCCAGGCTCTGAAGATGATCTCAGTAAAGATCGAAACGTTGGCACGATAAAGGAAATGTTTTTCTGAAACCTACTTCCCACCAGACCGCATCTCACGATCTCCAAAGAATCTTAGTACAATAGTTCGTCCCCAAACCTAACCCCTCCCATAACATAAAAAAATAAACCAATTTTAGAGTAGATAAAATTAAAATGCTTCTAAAAATTCTAAATTAGGAAAAAAAGTTTTCTCGTCCTCTTCACACGTTTCGTACTGAAAATTAAAGTTTAAATGTTGGTCCAGTATTTTACCTTAGTTAAATTTAAAATGTTTCTGCAAGTATGAGAAATAATTTTGTTTGTTTATTGAGCAATACCTTTTTCGCTCAAGAGAAACGGCAGTACAGCCTACCACACGGTGAAATTGTAGCACAGTAGAGTGAAGAGAGAGAAACACAAGATGAAACTCATACAGCTTTAAAAAAAGTATTTTAATAAAAAAAGTTTGCGACTAGGGTTCACATATGACGAAATAATAAAGAAATAATCAATGATAACCGTAACAGGATGAACAAAAAAATTATTATTCTCATCTTTGTATTATTTCCATAAAAATGTTTGAAATCAAAGATAGTTCAATAATCAGAAGAAAGCAAATACATAAATGTGATCATATTTTTTGCAATTTCGTGATGGAAAAATTTGACATTTTTGTTTTTCGATGTAGGGAACGTCTGATTTTTGTTTTCTTTCTTGTTGTTTCTGTACACCCTGCATTTTTAAAAATTGCTCAGACGATTCCTGTTAGTTTCAATTTTGTACATGCCCGTTCGTCTCTGTGATTATTTGCCGATCGCGGGAAAGGAATGGTCATCAATTTGTGGCTGGCGTCGCCCTTGAGAATCCCCTACCACACATTTTCATATCATGATGACAAACACTTTTTCAAGACGCGCAAGGCGTAATCATGACTTTTTCTTTTTAATGAACAAACTTTATTTTGTCATATTTAGGAAAATTGTTTGTTCAGACCCAATGCATATTAATTTTATAGAACCAGAAATATACAAATATGAATTTTATCAGACAAACTTTGCCAATAAAAAGTTGCATATAAACATTATTTTCATATACTTATGATTAGTATTGATTATTAATAATCCTTTTTATTATCCCGAATTGTCTAAACACGGTTTATCTGACAAAAACTAAATCCTTTCATCATATTAAGCCATACCAGAAAAATATAGATAGATAGATAAAAACCTTTATTTATAAATAAACAATACTCAATAAATAATTTTTAAAAAATAAGCAAATAACAATACAAAGCTTATTAGATTAGACATGGTTTTCATCGCCTGTCTGAAATGAGGAACTTATTTTTAAAACTAATCAGCAGAGTAAAACAATTAAAATAAAATACAAAATTAATTCCAGAAACAATTGGTTTTGTTTTCTGAATTGTATGCTACCGATCCATAATCCAAACAGGAACGGATAAGTGCCTTGCAGAAATGTAGCATTGAATTCCTTCCGTAATTTAGAATATTAATACAAAAAAAAAATTAAAAATAAGAAAAATAAATAAATAAGTAAACCATGGGTGAGACATTTTGATTATCAAATCACGATGCCCCAAAATTTTGTGTATGTTTGCAAATCATGATATCCCAAAATTTTGTGTATGTGGGGTGACATCGTGTTTATCAAATCATGACAATTGAATAGCACCACACTTTATGCCCTGAAGATGACCCGAATAAAGGTTCAAACATCGGCAAAAAAAAAAAAAAAAAAAAAAAAAAATTAAAAAGGTGTTTTTCTAAACTAGCTCATAACCGCTCCTCATGACTTAAACAAATTTTTTGTTTATTTCTAACTATATGTATTTCATTGCTATACAAATTACAACATACTTATCTTAATGTAAGCCAAATTAAACATGATCATAAATTCATGAGTTTTAATAAAAATTATTTTATTACGATGATTTTAAATAAAATTTACCGAAACAATGGAAAAACATTTAATGATAGAATGAATTTAACAATTTACTACCTGGTTTTGCGCATAATAAGACATTAAAAATTGCTAGTTAAATTTCCTGTGTTTCGGTTTTCTTTCAAACCATCATAATTAAATATTTTGTATTAAAACTCATAAATTTATGATCTCATTTAATTTGGCTTACATTAGTGTAAGTATGTTGTAATTAATATAATGATAAAAATACATATAGTTTGAAACAAACAACAAAATATGATGGTTATTTTTAGTATATATAACACTCAATTCAAGAATTCCAGAGCAAAAAAATAATAATAATGAAAACGAAAATAAATATTCATCAATACCTAAATTTTTAATAAAGCAATTGTCAATATTTTATAAACTCAAACAAAGATTAATTAAAATTTTGTACTGTTGAAGTGTGTTTGATCTGATAATGCACAAGTGTTTTCCTGTTAAACTGATAGTCACGGTAATAATATAGTATATCAAAAATTTAAGCAAAAGATGACAACTAGAAGCAATGATTAGTCGACGATGGAGGAATGTTAGTTTTTGTTAGGTTTAGAAACCATTTGTTTGTGTTAACAGGTGTTTGTTTGTTGATTAAGTTGTTCAATTTTTTGATGTGTTTGTTTTTAATTTGGTCAAAGTGGAAATTGTATGCATCTTTTTGATGTGTGTAAATTTTTTTAAAAATGTCTGTAGGTATTATGTTGGCGGCATTGAGTTTTAATAAGTGTAATTTTTCTATTAATGTCTTAATGTTTTTGATGCTCGTGGTGATTTCTATGTTTAAAATGTTTCTTTTGAAATGTATTGTGGCTTTATGTATGTCGTTAATTCTGGTGTTGGGTTGTGTTAGTGTGGTATTTGTGAAGTTAAAATTGTAGTAATATAAGTTTGTCTGCCTGTGTACAATTCCAACTTATTCATTAATTGAGAAAAATTGTCAATACACTTCAGGTTGAAGATTTATTCAGATTCAGATCAGATAACTAAAGTTAAATATAAAAAATGTCCTGGTCCTCATAAAATCTCTTGTAATAAAATATTGTAAGCATTAGCTTTAATATTTTCAGAATTGTTTGATAAATCACTTACTCTAGCCTCTTTTCTAATGTTCTTGAATTCAGTTTTGGAGACAAATCAGATGTGAACTGTATGGACACAACATAGAATGGTTCCCATTCAGCAAGATCGACAACAAGCGATTTTCTCTTTGCTGTTCATCAGCAAGTGAAATCTATATATCTTGATTTTTCAAAAAATTTCATTCTGGTTGACTTTGATGTACTGATTAACAATCTTTCGTATAATGGAATTCCTAAATCTCCTTGAAATTGTTTAATTCTATTTAAAAGGCAGGAGTCAAATTAATATTCCCAGCCTCTGAAGTGCATTCCATCCCATCTGGAGTTCTTCAAGGTTCACTACTTAGGCCTTTCTTGTTTAAACTTTTTATAAACAATATTTCATCTTTGCCGACGATCTGAAAAATCTATAAGCTTATAGAACCAAATCTAACACTTTAACATACTACAAAATTTTGTGTCCAATCTTGAGCATTAGTGTAAAATAAATTGTATATTCATTTCGGGCTTGTGTCAGCACTGTGTGTATGTTAAATTGTCCATTCTATGGCAACTTGGTTTGAAGAATGACCCCCTGGGGCTGCAGAGGATGGGCCAATGAGCTCAAAACGTACAAAATAAAGAGACATGCCACAGAACACTTAGATTTTCTTTTCTTCCGTAATATCTAAATAATACATAATTTACATAAAACAGAAGTATATGTGTGTATTTTTTCATGTTTATTCATCCCTCACCATTCCCAAATCGCTGATAAGTGCTTATTATTATTTATATTTGTACAGCACAATATAATTCTCTAGTTAGGGATGGTTTATTATTTTATATTATTTTTTTAAGAATAATTTACAGGAGGCATGCATAAATAGTTTAATGCCCCCCCCCCAAAAAAAAAATATCCTAAGCTTTAGCCAGTGACTGCTGATGAAAATAAACAAAATCAATATCATACAACAGACTTTTGAAAATAATTTATTTAATTATACATCTTATAAATTTAAACTCTCACGTATCAAGAGTACTGTCGATAGGTGGCCCTCGAAAGATGTGAGTAATAGAAGGGTCATATTCATCCGATTAAGGATAGGCCATATGAGGTTTTGACATACAGACACTTACTTTTAGGACAAAGCATATATGTGTCCAGGAAGTAAACTTGCTCAATGTGTCCTACCTAGGGTTTCACTCCTTGGCTCCATGTAGAGAGCATATAGGAATGGAACCTGTATGAGAATTGTGGTTGAGCATGAAGTGAATATTTGGGACACCTGTTCCGATTTTTGTAGAAAATGGGACCGTTTTGTAGATGTAGATGTAATTTCAGGGTATAGTATACTGCGCCCTTTAAGAGCTATTGTATCCCCCGTGCTCTGCCTAAAGAACATCGGCGAATCCTATTTCATCAAGAAACTTGATTAATAGGCCCGGTTTCAGTGGTTGAAGCTCTTCTATGGTCACATTGTACATCCCAAAACACTTCCTCCTGCGGGCTAATGTAGCTCCGCATTTGTTAGTAAGTGTGTTGGTGTCTCTTCTGCTTCTTTGCAGAATCTACATGTGCCATCTTGGATCCAATTTTCTTTAGATGTCCATTTAATCTACAGTGTCCTGTTAGGATTCGCAGTCTGTTTCTGCTTCCTTTGACACATTCTGTGATTTCTTTCTTGCCAAAATTGGTTAGAAGATATGGGACCATTTTACTGTTTCTAGATATCTCGTCTTTTTTTTCTTTGTGTCCATTGAGAATGAATGTATTTATTAGCGTAAATGTGTAGTTTGAAAGGGCTGATGGTAGAATATTGAGTACCCTATCAATCCTCAACTAGCTTAATTATATAAAAGGTGTAAAGGGTATGGAGGTATATCAAGTACTCCACCATCCTAATTGAAAGAAAGGTATGTAAATAGGAAAGAATGTATTTAAGAATGGATGAGTTGAACAGGTTTGGTTCTAGGAACTGCAATCGTTGGGTCCTGAATTGACCTAGCTGTTGACAGCACCCAGAGCTGTCCTCCTAGAACCCTAGGTGGCTGGATGGATAAAGCCAACATTTGACCCCGAACTGCCAACACTCGGGGTGGGTGATTCTCGAGGAATGCTGGTAATTGCCAGTGGACTGAGAAATTATAGAATTAACTCTGTACATGTGTGTATGTATGTACATACAAACCAGTAATTAGTTATCAATTTAAATTTTCTTGATCCTCCTTCTGCTTGTTTGAGTTTCCTGACCAAACTACATAACCATAAATCAAATATTGTTGAATTAAAAGTATATTTTTCAAAAGTATAAGTTATTTGTCAACAAAATTTAATGCATCTCACTTTCATGTACCATTACCATTATTCACAAATATATTGATTGTATGTTGAATCAGCCAGTTTTACAATTAAATTTTCAGGCAAACAAACCATTCCACTCCTTATGCTTCATGGGTGGCCAGGCTCAGTCCGAGAGTTTTATGAAATCATACCCATGCTCACAACCCCAAAACCTGAGCATGACTTTGTGTTTGAGGTCGTAGCGCCGTCGCTTCCAGGTTATGGGTTTTCTGACGGTGCTTCAAAGCCTGGACTAGGCCCTGTTCATATGGCAGCGCTCTTTAATGACCTCATGGTTAGAATTGGACACCAAAAATACTACATCCAGGGTGGTGACTGGGGTTCTATCATAGGTGTTTCTCTGGCAGTCATCAGACCAAACAAGTACTTTATTTATTAATTACTTTGGAATGAGTTTTTTAAATATTTTCTTTGCTTTTGCAGTGTTCTTGGTTATCATTCCAACATGTGCTTTGTAAACAGTGCTTTGGCTAAGTTACAAACATTGGTAGCTTATTTTTTCCCATCTTTGTTGATCGAAAAACACATGCAGGCAGATTATCCAAACACATTTTTTAATCTTATTCTCGAAAGTGGATACATGCATATTCAGGCAACTAAGCCTGACACTGTTGGTGGGTATTTATTTATATTTTTACTCTAAAAACAAAACTGTTGTCAACAGTTGGCTTTTATTTTAAGGTGTTGCTCTTAGCAACTCTCCAGCAGGGCTTGCAGCTTACATCTTGGAAAAATTTTCAACCTGGACGAACAAGGCATGGAGGGATCTCTCTGATGGAGGTCTAGAGCATTACGACAAAGCTGCATTGCTTGATAATGTTATGATTTACTGGATTACGAATAGTATCACATCTTCAGTGAGACTGTATAGTGAAGCATTCAGCAAAAATTATCAAGCTCTCCGTATGGACGAGTGAGTAGTTTGATTAAAAAAAAAAAATCTGCTTTACAATTTGTAACTTATTTGTTATTTCTATTTCAGAATCCCTATGTTGAGACCCACAGGCTGTGCAAGGTTCAAAAACGAACTTGTCTTTTCATCAGCTTCAATGCTCACCCATCATTTGAAAGATTTAGTTCAAATAACGGACTATGCCGATGGCGGTCATTTTGCTGCTTTCGAGGTCCCTGACGTTCTTGCTGCGGACATCTGGAAATTTGTTAAGACTGTTAGGCTAAGAAAGTCAGCAGTGTGATAATGCTGACAGTTTGCTTTTCATTATGTTTGTTGTTGCTTGTATTATAGTTATCATATCGTCAATAAATTGTAAAACTTTTTAAATATTTTTTTATTCAAATACCTCCTCCCAACTAAATGACAGTGCATACAATAATTTAAAATTACATTAAAAATCTGGCAATTTTTCAAGCTGATTTAAGTAGCTGTTAAATGATTATTTGTATTACATTTCTTTTTGTTTATTTTATTTATTTAACTACATAAGTGGAATATGTAGTTTAACTTACTTTCAATATTTTCCTGCTACAAATAGGACAAAAAAAATCTTATTTCTTATATACAGGGTGGCCCCAATCGATTCAGCCACACTTCCAGATCTTATAGGAAATTGAACTCTGAGTAAAAAAGGTTTATGAACCTGTGTCCGCAAACCCTTCAGTTCCGAGCTACAGGCAAAAAACCATGAAAAACCACATTTTTTGACCTTATTCGTGAAATTGTTAGAAAACCGTTAGCCTGACCATATGTGTTACTATCACATACTTCAAAACAACAAATAAGGAATTAATTTTAGAAAAATGACTCCTTTTTATGATCTAGATTAAAAATTAAATTATTGTCATTATTACAGGGAAAGAAGTACTGCCTCTTCTACTGCTTCATGGGTGGCCAGGCTCTGTTAGAGAATTCTATGAATTTATTCCTCTTCTAACCAACCCTACCTCTTCATATGATTTTGTTTTCGAAGTAATCGCCCCGTCGATTCCTGGGTATGGGTTTTCAGATGCTGCATCCAGACCTGGTCTAGGACCTGGAGAAATCGGATCAATTTTTAATGATTTAATGGTCCGTTTAGGCTTTAACAAATATTATATACAAGGAGGAGATTGGGGATCAGGAATTGGAGGTTCCATAACTATTCTCCGCCCAGAGAAGTGATACACTATTTATATTGTCAATAACGAAGAAGTTTTAAATTTTTTTTTTTTTTTTTTTTTTTTTTTTTTTTTTTTTTTTTTTTTTTTTTTTTTTTTTTTTTAGTGTTTTGGAAATTTTTGCATGGTACACAGTCTTTTGGGCCAACTACAGGCTCTTGTCGCTGGGTTCTTTCCCTCATTATTTGTTGAAGAGCATAAACGATCGCTATACTCCAGTCGTCTAAGTTTTATGTTAGAAGAATCTGGATACTTCCACATACAAGCTACCAAACCTGACACCATGGGTAAAAATTTTGTTTAACCAAAGAGAGATGTTTAAACATTTTTAAAAATTTTATTCAGGTGTAAGCCTGACGGATTCACCTGCTGGGCTTGCATCTTATATTTTGGAAAAATTTTCTACCGGCACTAATAAAAACTGGAGAGAGCTTGAAGACGGCGGCTTAAAATACTACAGTATGTCAGCTCTTCTTGACAACGTAATGTTTTACTGGATAACAGACAGCATAACATCATCAATGAGACTCTATGCGGAGGCTTGTTCAAAACGAAATAGTTTCCTGAAGATACTACAGTAACTTTAACCCAAACACATATTGAATGTAACTGTAATAATGCACATTGTCTTTTGTCTCCAGGATTCCGATTATGAGGCCAACCGCCTGTGCAAGGTTCAATCATGAAGTGGTTTTCTACCCGTCTTCATTGCTCCGCCAGCATTACAAAGACCTAGTGCAGCTCAATGACTTTCCAAGGGGAGGGCATTTTGCAGCATTCGAAGTGCCTGAACTCCTAGCAGATGACTTGTGGGCTTTTGTCAATACAGTGACATTACGAAGCTCTACAAGCTAATTAAAAAAAAAAAAATCAGTTAAAAAAATTTAAATTTATACAATTGTAGTATTAATGTGATACTATGATTAAGAAATTTTGTAAACTTAATAAAGAAGTTTAATGTGTATTTTTCTAATCTACTAATTGATTTTAGTGACTAGGTATAATATCTGTTTTATGACTAAATAATGTCTGTGACTGAGATGAAGTTATACAAAAATCAGATCACTTTCATAATTCACCAGATATTAATACTAGAAACCTTCTATAACTTCATAATTATAGATTTCAATTCTTTTCTTTCCTACATGAACTGTTTTTATCCTAGTTTTTGTTTATTATTGTAAACCTTTAATTATTACTTGGTAGTTTTGTATTATTTTTGGTCTGCCTATACTTGCTGGTTTTGTCTATCAGACGCCTTTTTGCTATTTTTAGTGCTGGTGGTCAAAACGGTGTGTCTTTGTTTTGTTAGGTTCTTTGATATATTATGTAATTTGATGTATTTTGTAATTTGATATATTATAATGACTTTTACGAACATAGTAACATAATGAAATATTCACAGACCCAATGCTGAAGATGGCAAAACACCAATATGCATCAAACAGACCCAACCACTGAGGACAGGTCAATAAAAACTGATCGGTACTAATCAAATTGCAACTTCATCACCATTCAGATCACATGGAGAAATCTCACAATTTTAAATTAAATATCAATTTTGTATTTTGGGTAATATTAATATTACAGAATTTAAATTAATATTTTTAGCTTAATATATACACACACACTACATTAATAAACTCGAATTAAAAAAAACAAAACTATCAGATATGAAACTTCCAGGATGAAGCCAGGAAAAAGAGAATTTACAAGTAGAGAAACAAAAATTCACAAGAAAAATTATAAAATTTATTGCACATTTTCTTTTTCAAATTTGCCATTAGTCATCTCACAAAATAAATAAAAATCACAATACTGAACATTCACAGCACATTAGCGTATAGTACATACAGTCCAGACTGCCACAGCCATTATTTTCATCTTGATCTAAATTCTGGCCTGTGTCGTTGCCGTCCTTTAAGGACATGCCTGACAAAGACACGTCCCCGTTCAGGGGTGGCTTTTCCGGTGGGTCGCCCAGGCCTTGTATGACAAATCGAGGTACTGCTCCATCAGGATGGGACTCGTCTTCGTCGAGAATTATTTGATTTAGGTCTGTCTCATCATACTTCTTATTATTTTCAGGCTCAATAGAATCATCTTTGAACTTCTCCTGCAATGAAATCCTTATAAAACTTGGATTACAAAAGCAAAAATAATATGAAAAACGTTAGAAATTGGGATTCCGAGTGAGAGTGACAGTGAAAGAGAGAGACAGAGATTTCATATCAAACTATTTAAGCATTAAGTTGTATTCTGAATTTTTCTTTTGAACCTCTTATCTTTTGAAACAAAATTGTCAAATACATTTATTGTTCTGTTCTAATTATCAGAACAATTTTTTTTCTCAGTTTCAACGTTGTTACTTTAAAAAATATATAATTTACACTTTCTACACAGCGTTCAAGGCAAAACTTTCCCATTGTTGACTATAACAAACTCCCCAGAAACCTTACAAGAACAATATATGTGCTAACAAGACAGCAAAAACTGTTTAGATTTTTAAAAGAAACAATTATATCTAAAAATAAATCTAGATATGAAATTTTTTTAAATATTATCTTATTAGTAGCGATCTTTTATAAATTTGCTATCACATGATAATGTAAACTCACTTTATTTCTAAGTTAAATGATTACTTGTTTACCATATTTTCAATTTATACAATAAATATAATTTTTCCATTTCTAAAGCCATGTTAAAAAACATTTATTACATAGTTTGGGTTGTATTTGAGACACTATCTTTTTTTGTGTTTAATTGAAATTTCTCCTAAAATAAATTTATATAACATATATGGTCTGTGCTGTGTACATGGAGGGATGGCAATGTAAACACTGTAGAAATGAATGTCATAACTCTCATACCGAAAACAGGAAAAACTTTATAATGTGCGCGGATTCGCTCAGTGCGGTCTTACAACTCTAGAGAAAAGGAAACTGGATCCACTAGTAAATAAAATACACAAACAATTAAAAGGGATCAATCCCGATGGGAATAACATCATGCTGGTTGGATTCCCGGCAATATAGGCCAGGGATGAAGAAGCAAACAAAGCAGATAAATAGGCCGCATTAGTACACTGACCACCCTATCCCGTTCTCCCAGCGTGGTAAGACTAATGAAGAATAATATAAAAGAAAAAATGCAAAAATTACTGGGTACAGACTTCTGCCCAATAATGGCAGTAAAGACACATTAGTCACTGGTCGTCAAAGGGCGGGTCAACAAGGGAAAGGGTCGTTCTTACCAAATCATGTGCATAGGCTTGCACTTGCTGGTGGGAAAGAGGCCATGTGTGTCCATTATGTACTGAAAGAGCATATTTTACAATGCAGAAAACTAAACGATGAGCTATGCAGTTCCTGCTAACTTATGTGTGGCTTTACATAGGGGCACTGTTTCAGTACCCCAGAGCTATAAGAGTTTTTAAATATATGTGTCTGTGCTGTGCTTTATGTGTTGGTGTGTATGTAAATTATTACTATTATGAAAGAGGGGATTAGCCATACTGAAGAATGTGTGGTGTTTAGTGACCGTTAGCCAATGATTACATGGAGATCGTGAGGTGCAGTCTGGTGTGACATGTTTTAGAAAAACATTTTCTTTATCGTGCCAACATTTCGACCTTTATTGAGATCATCTTCAGGGCCAGGGCTTTATAAACATTGTTTAAATTTTACAAATACATGTAGGATGTGAAAAAAATGAATTTATAAAATGCTAGAAAAATTTTTTAGATTAAAAAAAAGTGAATTTATACAATGCTAGACAATTTTAGATTTTAAAAAAATGAATTTATACAATGCTGCTTTTTTTATCTAAAATTTTCTAGCATTGTATAAATTCATTTTTTTAAACTAAAATTTTTTAGTATTGAATAAATTTACTTTTTTTTAATTCTAAAAAATTGTCTAGCATTGTATAAATTCACTTTTTTTAATCTAAAAATTTTTCTAGCATTGTATCAAATTTTTTTTCACATCCTACATGTATTTGTAAAATTTAAACAATATTTATATATCCCAGGCCCTGAAGATGATCTCAATAAAGATTGAAACGTTGGAACGATAAAGAAAATGTTTTTCTACAACCTACGTCACACCGAACCGCACCTCCTGATCCCCATTTAATACTTTAGAATATTGAGTACTCTGGGGTGAGAATATTGTCTGAAGAGTGAAAGTAATTTATTAGCATGAATGGAGGGTTAAAACTGAAAAAACTGAGGGTGTGAATGAAACCACACTTGCCTTATTATGGGAGGTGAAAGAATAGCAAGAGAAGCCACAAGCTTTCTGGGTGCAATGTATCCCTCACCTCAGGCCTATGACTTTGACTTAACAGCTAAGACAGAAAAAAAAGGATATCGGCATTGTCAGAATATCCAGTACCATGCTGCCAGACTTACACTTACGACTATTTGTCTTGTCTGCCGGCTCTTCACTAGGGCATTACTAATGCTGCTTCCAGCAAAGATGGGAAGTGTGAAAATCATTCTTTATATGTTCTTGTTCTCTTAATAGTCATTTGACAACCTGAGATGTCTTTGAGGGGTTAGTTAAGAAAACAGACAAAGTATGAGAGTGTCAGTGACAAAATTGCAAGGGGGGGAAAATTCTGTTTTAGAGGGCCTGCGATGACCACTTGATGCTTGTCGGTCCATAAACATTTCATATTACTACTGTAACATACATTATCAGGGTGACTCGGTATTTAATGCATCATAAAGTTGTTATCGCTATGGTTGTACAAGTATAAGCTTAGTTAATATATTTAATTATTTAAAATTAATTACATCCTTATTTATTGAATTGTCATCGAAGCCACTGGAGGGACTGTAAGGATCTTGATTTGAGTAATTATGTTCTTGGCTGTTGCTGCCATCACCCCCTTCACCATCCATCTTGAACAAGAGATAGAACCAGACAGGGAGTGTGTTCAATCACATGATTCTCTGGAAAAAGAAAAAAAAGAAAAAAGAAAATACAGAGAAAAAAATTATAGTAACGTTTTCATTTTATGAATTGAAGGGGAAATGCCTCAACCTAGGGATAATGAGAGACGGCCACAAGGTCTCCAAAACACTGTGATAGCCTTGACATATATACATCATGAAATGGTACACTGAGTTCACATTTCAGTCGAATAGTTACAAAAGTATTTCTTTAGCTTCTTTACCTTTTAATTAATAATGGACGATGACAGTTTGGCATTGGGTGAACTGGTCTAAGAAAAAGAAAAAAAAATTAAGACATCAAAGTTCAACATTGTTTACATTTCTTTTGTTGATAAACAGAAAAATGGCATTCTGTTTGAAAATGAAAAAATAAAGTATGAACTGTTTACTGAATAACTAATAAAATCAAACATTTAACATAGTAAATTTTTATTTGTAGAATGGTAAATCCAAATTCAATATATATTCATAGCTTGGCAAATGCAAGAGAAATATATACTAAAAGACAAAAAACAGACACGAATATTTTGTTTCCATCCCTAATTTTGTTTCTTGGGTTTCTTTTCAGGAAATAGACAACCATCAAACTCATTTTAATTTTTATTGTGTTTCCAAAAAGAAAATATGACTGATCAGGGGAGGCTTATGCCCCCGAAAATGATATCAACACAAATAAAATGAGTTGAATGAAAATGAACCCAAGAAATATAAAAAGTGAACAACCTAAAACGATGAGTAAAAAAATATATCATATTTTGTTGTTTATTTCAAACTATATGTAAATATTTTTATCGTTATGTTAATTACAACATACTTATTTTAACATAAAACAAATTAAACGAAATCGGAATTCCAAGAGTTTTAATAAAAATGTTTAATTATGATGCTTTGAAAGAAAATTCATCAAAACACTGAAAAATGATTTATTAAATTGTTTATTAAATTTTAATTTATGACTAAATGATTTTCCAGTGTTTTGGTGAATGTTCTTTCAAACTATCATAATTAAATTATTTAGAGGAAAAAACATGAATTTCTGATTTCATTTAATTTGGTTTACATTAAAATAAGTATGTTGTAATTAATATAATGATAAAACATGTATTGTTTGAAAATAAACATAAAAATACAAGTGTATTTTTTGTCTTTGAGCTTATACTAAATATTTTATTTCTTGTGCTATTTATCACTTTGTATTTACTCTGTTTCTTGTTTAAAATACAGTAATAATTAAAACAACTATCATCAATATAGGGCTGTAATTAGTGAACTAATACAACATATAAAAATTCTCTTTTTAGCATGTTTGAAGTTTTGATCGGCTTACTCTCTACTATCGTGTTACAGACTGCAATCAATTCTCCCACATGATTGAAGAAAAAGCCGGTCAGACCTTTCAAAGCGCCTCAAAGCAAATAAATTTATGTCGTAGGAAAAAAAAATCGTAATGGGGAAAATTTAAATTATAGTTGGTCGAGTGGAGGAATCTCATGCACCAAAGTCACGATAGCTCAAGTTGTACAGCACCGAGGCATAAAATCTGGAGTTGTGGGTTTGAGTCCCAATCGTAACACTAATTTCTCCTCAACCTTCTTTGCATAAAAATTGAAAAAAGATAATAAAAACTGATAACTAATAAAAAATATAAATAAATAAAATAGAACAGCTATCAACATTTCGTTTTAAACACTGTTTGTCTCTTTTGTAGTAAAAAGTTGTTTTATTACAATGAACTTATTATAATGTAAACCAAATTAAACAAGAACAGAATGTCATGAGTTTTAATTAAAATTACTTAATTATGATGGTTGGAAAGAAAATACTCCAAAACACCAGAAAAACGCCAGTTAAAATTGATCTATCAATTATTATATCACTAAATGATTTTCTGGTGTTATTCAATGTTAGTTCAAGGGTAGTGAGCATTGTGGAATTGGCAATAATTGAATCTACTCTTCCTCAAGCATATCAATTGCTATCAATCGAATAAATTTCATATATTCATATATCATTTTATAAATATTTACTTTTTTGAACATTATTTTCCTAGATGAGAAGAATTTTTGGAATATTTTTTGTTGCTTATTTGTAAAAGTTAAACGTAACATTTTCATTTTTAAAACAGTATTTTTCCAAAACATTACAAAAGCAGAATAATTAATGGCAAGTCTAAATGTGTAACTGCTAAAACAGACAGTTAAAAACAACATAAACGAAAAACAATATTTACTAGTTCCTAGAGTAATACAGAGCTGGAAAAAAATTTCCGACACAATTTTTGTCCAGACCATCATTCAGTTTCAGTAGATTAGTTTTCTGTCAAACGATAGATAAAAGATCTGGTATTACTCATTTTAGTCTCATTGATCATATTCAGATAGCTCGTAATACACCACTTTGAAAACAGATAAAAATCTTGATTTTTTTTAATATATAATCAGCAGAAAGAATCTCTTTCATGACATCGACACCCAAAAAGGATACAAATATTACTAAAATTTAAAGGAAATATATAAGGACAATTAAAAAATGGACAGTGTTACTAGCTCTCTATGAAATGATAAGCCTACTATGATAATTTTTCTACAGTTAAATATCAACATGTATAGTAACTTTGCTTTTAAATTAAAAAATGCACTTTTGATATATTTTTTCTTTTCTGGTTTCCATCAAAGCTTTACTGCTACTTAACAATACATATTTACGTGATAAATTTTACTTATTCAGTTGTTTTGAACTCTCAGTGACTAATAGTGGACTAATAGTTGTTTTATTTATTTTAAAGTGAAAATTCAATTTTTTTCCTTGAACAAAAACTCAGTTTGTAATTATTTACTTGGCAACAAAAAAGTATTTAAAAACAAAAACAAAAAAAACATACTAAATCGTTTGATCAAACAGCAGGACTTATCTCTCTGTTTCTGGCTTCAGTTTTATGTCATTTGAATTTCAAATTAGAACTTGCCGAGGGAATGAAATCCTGTTAAAATACTGTGTCAACTGTAATCTTCCAGTTTACCAGTTATTACAGACAATTGCTTCTGCTGAAATGACAAATTTGATTTAGCTTAGAATGCTTTTTCTCATGGAAATTGAAAGTGAACTAATTATGATTTAAGACAATTCAAGAGAAAAGAAAATCAGTTATGTTTAATATATTGCCTTTAGTTTTTCAACGAAATCAATTGTTGATTTTTTTTTTAAATTCTGTTAAAATGTATATATTTTTGACGTGGTTTAATTTTCTTATTTTTAAGCCGTTTTTGAAGGTGGTTAAAGAAATTTTCAAATATACGATATTTCGGCCTCCTTCTAGATTCTAATTTGAAATACTACTTGAAGTGGCTCAAGTTGTCGAAACTTTGTATTCTTGAAAATTTCATTAACTGCCTGCAAAGAAGCCCTAAAAATAAGCAAAATTAACAAAAAGGACAATATAAACAAAGAAAGTATTTTGGTCATAAGTTGATAGGTAGGAAATAAATTATCTTTTCCACATTTATTATGTCTGATGTGTTTCAGTCTAAATGTTCTTCAATGGCTTTTTTATATAAAGTGCTTTTAGTTATTACAGTTTTACATTATTGAAGTTCAGAAGTGGATGTCTGGACGAGTATGGACTTGGTGAGAAGTCTGTCAAGAATATTCTTTATATATATTCTTGACAAACTACTCGCCAAGTCCATAGTCGTCCAGACATCTACTTCTAAACTTATAACAATGGTCAAACTACACTATAAAAAAAAGTCACTGAAGATATCTTAGACCAAAACGCATTATCTGATTAAGAAGTTGTACAAAATCAGGATGGACGCTATCAAAAAATTATTTTGGTCATGTCTAAAATATCGATTTTATTGTGGAATTAATGTTCTATGTAATGCACACTGAAGTGACGTTTTCACATGCTTGAATAATTTTTTTGTTTTGCATTGCAAAGAAAATTTGCAGACGGTTATTTTGTCAATATTTTTTAATCTTTGGTATATGTTTGAAACTTTATATTGATAATTGTCTAGTTTCATGATTAGATTAATTTTTTTATCATTAATAAGCATGTTTATTTATATAAACTATGAGCACACATATAGATTTTGGTCAAAAACCACTATGAAAAAATATATATTATATTATAAAATCACATCAAATATTATATTAGAAAATATAATAAATTAAATTGCAGAAATAAAATCATAAATGAAACTTACACTGATTGCTCCTATCTTCTATCCTCTGTAGTAGCATGGATGTAAAAAGAAAAAAAAACAGACAAAAAAGAAGAAGAGTCCAAGCAGAATGTAGGGCAGGACAATACAGTAGTCGGTTCCTCAGAGAGACTGGAATGATGGGGTTTCGTTCCTGACAGTTTTGTTATGAAAGGCCTGCAAGACTGAACAAGCTGTGAGCAAATGCAGCCAGAGCTCAGAGAGAGCCCAGTCAAGGACAACCACTTCTACTCCCCCATTCAATGTGCTCCGAGAGAATAAAACTCAGTTCAGAGCCCTTTGACCATTCTTGGTGGGCAGACTGTCTTTTCACATCTGACTGTACCATTATCTCACCTAATACAAGATATGTAAGGAGAGGGGGAGTGGACCATTCCTTTCCTTTCTCGTCTTATGATGATCTCTTCTATTCAGACAGATCTCAATATCCATAAGACTAACAACTCTTTCTAATCAAGAATTAAAAAAAAAAAAAAAAAAAAAAAAAAAGAGAGAGAGAAAGAGAAGAGAAAACACCGGGCGATAGTTCATCCCAAGGTGACTTCACGCTGAAACTATGTAAAAAGTCCATGCCTGGAATTCATTATTGATTTCCTCATTCCAACAAAGGACCACACTGTCTCTTTTCCATTAATTAAAACCTTTTCTAATTTATCTGGAATAAAGAATTGTTATAAAGCAATGCTAATGCTTTATGTTAATGAATTTCCAATCTGTTAAAAATGTATTCCATCCAGAGTAGGTTCAATTTTTGCCAATTCCACACGGCTTACTAGCCCTGAACTAACATTGAATAAGACCAGAAAATCATTTAGTGATATAATAATTAATATATGAATTTTAATCTATCACTGGCGTTTTTCTGTTGTTTTGGAGTATTTTTTTTTTCAATCTTCATAATTAAATAATTTTAATTAAAACTCATGACATTCTGACATTCTTGTTTAATTTGATTTACATTATAATAAGTTCATTGTAATTAATGTAACAATAAAAATACATCTTATAATATGAAATAAATAACAAAATATGAGCATTGGTCTTTGTCTTTATTATTTAAAAATGAATGGAAACAGAAAGAAAATATTTTGAAACACTAAAGAAGCAAAACAAACAATCTACTACAAAAGAGACAAACAGTGTTTAAAACAAAATGTTGATAGCTGTTCTGTTTAATTTTTTTATTAGTTATCATTTTTAAATTTTTTTGCAAAGAAGGTTAAGGAGAAATGTGTTACAAGCGGGACTCAAACCCACAACCCCCCAGACTTTATACCTCGGTGCTATACCACTTGAGCTATCGTGACTTTGGTGCATGAGATTCCTCCACTCAACCAACTATAATTTAAATATTCCCCATTACGAATTTTTTTTTTCCTATTACATAAATTTATTTGCTTTGAAGCGCTTTGAAAGGTCTGACCAGCTTTTCTTCAAATGTGTGGGAGAATTGGTTGCAGTCTGTAACATGATAGTGGATGTATACTTAAAAAAAAAAAAAATCGTACACTGATATTTTGTTGTTTATTTGAAACTATGCATTTTGTATTAATAAAACAATAACAACATACTTTCAATTTGTAATGCTAACCAAATCAAATGAAATCAGAAATTCATGAATTTTAATTTTTTTTAACGAGGGTTCGCAACAGCAGAGGTCAAATCATAGGGGTGTCGGTGTTTTTGAAAAAAAGAAAAACAAGCCCATTTGTAAATATGTCGGGTTCAAATGCAGTGCCGCTGGATTCGAACCCGGGACCTTTAACTTACAGTGATAAGCCATGAGTTTTAATTTAAAAAATATTCATGGTTTGAAAGAAACAAATATACGAGTGTTGGGGAGGACGGCAATAAAGAAATCACAAAAAAATGTAAAGTTTTCAGCTTATTTAATGCCTTCATCAGGACTACAATCTACACTGATGGAAAAATTTATTTAGTTTAAAATTAAATTTTTTTTACATTAGTTACAGGTAATGAGGAGCTATCGTAGACAAAATAAATAGTAAATGCTTTGTTAGTATGGCACCCAACTTATATTTGCTATGCTAGTGGCTCTAGCCCCAAATCCCAGTAATAGCTTGTGGAATTTTAATTGACTTTAATTTGAAAAAGGTCTCATACAGTGATTGTGACCACTCGCCCGTGACACCCAACAGAACATTAAGCCCTCTTATATGACAGAAATTACTTGGAGATTTTTCTTTTAGCAATCTTTCAGAATTTTTGTACCAAATTCTAACTTAAATGATATTAAGTACAAACATACATTTCATTTGTGGCCATCCTAAAACTGAATTAAATTCAGATATTTTGTTCAATAGAATCGACAAATTTAATATTTATTTATTTGGTATATGCCTTATTTGTGGGGACAGTGAAACAAGCTAGAAAAACTTCATTGTGCCAAGTTTCATTCTTTCAACTTCCCAATTTTGGCACTGAAGAGAGGCGGAATTAATAGAACAAAAATCAATAAATATGATTATAAACAACTCTCTACATTAGAAAGAATAGTTATAGATAATATTATTGTACAAATTGTCTAAAAAACAATGATTTTCATTCACTTTTTGTTTACTATATTTATTCACGATTATTTTTTACACTTTTAGAATTTACCGATTTCTTTGTAACACTTTGTCAACGACTCCTGCTTTTCAGGAGTTAATGATAAGAATTAATTAATACTCTAAGTCACACAGTTCATATCAAGAAAACCCCAAATGAAACAATAAAATTATGATTGAATCTTTTTTGTTATTTATTAATTATTACCAACATAAACAATATAGTTTACTATTAACTCATCCTGTTGTTAATTTAACAAATTTAAATAAAATAAAGTTATGGTAAGTGTTCTAATTGAAACTGAATTAATTTGATCTATATTAAATTGATATGAATCATAGAGATCTTTAGCCTAGACAAATATGTGAAACATGGAATTATCTTTATTTATAATAACTAAGCAATTTTGAATGGGAAGCTTTGATTAAGAAGATTCATTGTGGTTTAATAAATTGATTTGAAAAAGCTAAGTTTATGGCTTTTTATTAAACCCATTTCTCCTCAGTTTTGTTTTTGCTATGGTAGAACAAACATAGGGAAAATAGTAATTTTTGAATAAGGCAATTTACTATTTCATTACAATATTTTCAATATTGCTCTACATAAATTCAGACTCTCTTGCCTGAATTTGTGAATGTAGGATTTTGTTCCTGCTTGTTTTTTTTTTGTCAAAAAATTTCTAAAGCATATGTGAAAATTTTTATCTGCGTTTTTGCATGAATATTTTCCTTATTCTTTTAATCTTAATTTCACAACTTGTAACAAGAAGAGCGAAGAATAATATGGGAGTCTGAAAAAGATGCGTGATTTAAAAACAAGCAGAATTTTCTGTTTTATGTCTAGAGGGCTGGAGAGATGATTAATTATTAGATGTTTGCCAGCCATAAATAATATTATTTAATTAGTTATCTGTTTATTATTAACTATAATTTCCTAGTTTTATGTAAAGACGGTTGAGAAGAAAAATTAGTGTCACGAGAAGGACTCGAACCCATAAATAATATTGTAACAATTTTTTTCCACGTCTGGGAACATAGTAGTATTGTAAAAATCTGGAGATAACTTGTAGCACCTGCTACTTTTGTGTCCTTTGTTTGTTTTTTATCTTTTGAATTTTTTTGTTATGTATAAAGAGCTAATGACACAGTCATTAGGGAGCTTAATCATTTCATCGTTCCATCTTTTTACTGTGCACAGCTTTATCTGTTCTATATTCAAGCAGTTACCTATAGAAAACAATCCAGAAACTTATTATTTTACATTGTTAGTTTGTCGAAAAATTAAAACATCCTATTCGAATTTTAATTATAGAAAATAAATTAATATTTATTTGTGCTTTGATCGTCGAGTTAGATAATATTAAAAAACAAACTGTTAAAAAAGCTTACACTAAAATGAACTAAAATAATGCAATACAATAGTAATATTATACATTTGTCAGGACTATTTTTCACTAACAGTTTTAAGGAAGACTATTGAGTCTCTTCTCAAATTGTTACAATATGTATATAGAACTTACTATCTGTATAAAAACTTCAATGGGTAGAGAATTTGGCTAAACTTAATTAAAAATTACAGCTATTTTGTTTTCTAGGAGTATACTTGTACTTGCCCTTTATGTGAGGGTTGGTACCGAGGTAATCAGAGTTAAATATCGTACCTTAGTGTATACTTGGAAAATAAATTAAATTAAGGCTTCCATGTTGAGAAAAAATTCTCAGCCGCTCAAGCACCGATGAACAACTTTTTCCTGAAATAAAGAATATCCTACTTAAATACAAAAAACTCATTTATGAATTATATTTTAAGGCTCATAATTACCTATGCATTACCTCTAAATAAGAAAAAACCAAACAACAAAGAAGAGAAGAAGTTTTTAAAGGATGTTTTGCATTTCAGCCAAAGCTTTGAAAGGAAAGAAAAAAGTATTGTTTCTAGACTTCTTGAATTTTTTTTATATGTACAAAGCACCAATCAAGTAGCAGGGTTGTTTCCATCGAAAACAAGTACAAATTGAAAAAATTTCAGATTTTTTTGTTCTTTGTGCTTATCCTATAAACTATGATGTTTATAGTACTTAATTCTTGTGTCAATCGACTCAAAATGGTCATTTCTATTGAAAATAAGTGCAAATACGTCAATTATTTTTTGATTTTTTGTTTTTATGTTTATCTCGTAAACTATGAGGTTTACATGTGCAATTATTGCACCAATCAACACAGCAGAAAACAAATACAAATACATTTAAAAAAAAAATGATGGGGCTTGATATACACAGCTGTGGCCTAGACCAAGAAATAGCCACCTGTGTGGAATTAATGCTAAGGTCAAAAGGAGCTGTCTCAGTTGGCGCCTAATTACCTTGAAGACTAGCTTGGTGATACTTGTGAACAACCACTTAGAACATTTGAAACCACACAGGGCTAGTTGACCGTGTCGCTTGGCGTCTCTCTAGATGAATGGTCAGTTCAATTTTTCCTGGCATTTTGCCTAGTGGCTTTTAAAATTAGATCGTACATGTCAACACACTAATAGCTTAAGTTGTAATTTTTTTTAAACTCTGCAATTAGTATCTTATTTTTGTAATTTATGTGCAATGGTCATAAGTATATCTGAAAAACTTCTCATAGTTCTAAATTTGTTTGTACAAAACGATAAATTCCCAATTTTCACTGCTCTATGTAACATGAAAAGACCTGCAATTGTTCATATTTCAAATAAATATTTTCTGCCCAAAGCATTTGTCTAGTCAATTTTCAGAGAGATGTTTCAACAATATGAATGATCAACTGTCCTGCCACTTTGCTGTGGCTACTAAGCTTCTAGGCAATATGCACAACGCGAGACACCTCCTGTAGAGCAAACTGCAAATTTAATAATTAATTTTATTTTATTTATTTATTTTTAAAGCAAAGCCAGGATATTTTGAGTAGTTTTTTTTCTTTTTTAGTGGAACTGTGTATAAAATTATAGAAAATCGATAGGGAATGACGAGATTTTTGATAGAGTCAACAACCAATAAAATTTCATCTTTCTATTTAACAACAAAAAATTAAAACCTAAAGGCACAATGTTTTTGTTATCTACACATTACTAGCCGAATTTAACGTGATGGAGATTGTCGGCTAGTTCTTGAACATACGCGTCAGCCTCACATTGGCTCTTTAAACTTGAATTTATGAGCTCGTCACCATGATATGCGCCAGATATGGCACCTGCCATGCTGGCTATTGTGTCTGTATCACCTCCTAAGGAAATGCTGTACTGTATACACCTCCTAAATGGGTTGTCCGTCTATAAAATAAAGTAATTTTAAATACATACCTAGATTTTAATTTTTTTTAACACAACATACTCACATCAATTTTGTTTATTGGCCTTAATGATCGTAGGAAACAGTAGATTGCAGTAGGTACGGAAAAAATTGCTAAGGCATTATTCCCCAGAGCTTGGACGACCTCATCATCACACACTTCTCCGACTTTAAGCAGTTTTTGTACAATTTCAAGTTGTGTTTTGTAACATTCCTCCTCATTATCTGACATACTGTAAATTGAAATATTGTTATTTTTTAAAAATATATAATTTTATAAATAATTGGTAAATTACGAATTATTGTCTTCTAAAGCAGTCATTTTTTCAAGTAGATAAGTTGAAAACTTGTCTACATCAATTGGAGTTTTTGGGTCATGATTGTAACTATGCTTGATTGCGAGGGCCTGAAAGAAAAAAAAATCGACGTTCATTTAGTAAAATTCATGAGAGAAGTGAGACAAGCTTCACCTGCAATATTGCTCCGTTGATACCAAGTGGGTGGGTGTGGGTCAGCTTTGCCGATTTGGTTACTGTGTCGATCAGGAGGTCTTCATTGTCATGGCAGAAAAGGGCGACAGGGGCGATTCGCATTGCTGCACCATTTCCAGCAGAACCCTGGCCTTCGAACTGTTCTTTGGCCGGTGTCCACAAATCCTCGAGTTTGTTGGTTTTTAGTTTTGTGAACACCTTGACAACCCCAGGCCCGTACCCACGCTTTGGCTCTTTGAAGTATTCAGTTATAAATCTGAGAATTTACAATAATAATACACATTACCACACAAAAGTATTACAGCATTTTATTATTATTTTGGATCATCCCTAAATTATACCCCATAATTAACTGGTATAACTTTGTAATGATAAAAATCTAAACTGCATGCTCTGCTAAAAAAATTATACAGCCCTTACATTTCATGTACAATTTGATATTGTTAAATTCTAGGTCATGCTTCAATTGGTGTGTTTCTTACTACTGTATATCAGTTGCATCCGTGCCATATCTTGGCTCAAATTAAATAATTGGGAATCAAAAAGTCACTGACGCATATTTTTGACATCCTTGCAATTACTATCCTCTAATGGTATTTTATGTTTGAAATCTGTTTAACCCTTCATGTAGGGAAACCGCGGTAGCCGAGTAGTTAAGGAGTCAGTCTCTGAACTAGTAGATTCCGCGGACATGGGTTCGATTCCCACCATCACCTCTGGACTTTTTTCTGAGCCTAAGGGGAATGGTGGCAGCAAATGAAAGAAATTTACACGGCACTCATCAATAGAAAGTCTGGGATGGGATCGGATTTGGTCCCAACCCCCTTCAAAAATGAGTTTCTTCAATAGAAGAACACTGGCACACCTGGGGCTTAAATTCACAAGCATGTTGTGAGCCCCCCCCCCAAAAAAAATGGAGCCAGGAATAAAGTACAATAAGCTTTAGTGCTCAGGGGAACTTCTCCAGTTCCTGGTCCTCCTCCAAGACTTGCCTCAGGTTCAGGTCTTGTTCTAGGGCAAGGTGCATCTGTCAAACATTTCTTAGATGCTTTTTTCCTTATTTTTTATTTTATTTATTTTTAAACATTTTTTCATTGTACAAGAAGTAGCATACCTTCGAAGGACAAACTGCCGACCCCCTGTGACCAAAAATACCAGACAAATCGGGGACAGCACTGCATAGAAAAAACTTCCCCTAAGGGAGATACATTAGTTACCTGAGCCACTTTTGAGAATGTGCATGTACTGCTATCATCCACACCCCACGAGCCCTGAGGTAGAAAAGACACCCAAACTACTCTGCTGTACTGACCCCCCAGCAGCCCCCACCACAATGGACCTGACCACAAGGAAGTACACCTCCTTCCAGATACACTATAGTTACAGTTAACTTTAAATATTTAAATTATTATTTTTTTAAAATAAATTTAAATATCAATTTGCACATCAACATGTTTTCTGAAGATATCATTGTTTCAAAGCTAAAAGGATTGTCAATAATGTTATATTTAAAAAACTTCTGGCATAAAATTTTCTCTGGTTTTCTGGATTTCCACTCACTTGAAAAGTAAATGTTTTAAATCTTCGGATATATCGCAAGTGGAACAACTGGGGGAAGTCTCTGTTTTATTTTGTAAAGGTAGGCACCGCTTATTTCACGACCAGTTCGACTTCCTGTCATAATAGTAAAGAAACCCTTACTTCTGTCTATGTGTGGTGATTAGTGACTGTTAGTCAAATATTATTCGGAAATCATGAGATGCGGTCTGGTGTGATGTAGGTTTCAGAAAAACATTTTCTTTATCGTGCCAACGTTTCGATCTTTATTGAGATCATCTTCTGGGCCTGGGATTTACAAACATTGTTTAAATTTAACAAATACATGTAGGATGTGGAAAAAAGTGAATCAGAGTTTATTAAACGACTTAAGCACATCAAGTTTCAGAAGCTTCAAATTTTGAATGGAGTAGCACGCTTGGCTAATTTGTCTACGGCTTCATTACTCTTTGTGCCACTGTGATCTTGTACCCAACAGAAAACCACATTCATGTTTTGTTGGCTGAGATCAAAAGTTCATTAATAATTTCACATAACTAATCTGATTTCGAGTTGCTAAATTTTGTATATTTTGTATCACACTTTTGCGGTCTGACATAATGCATACCTGGTGACTGATGAAACGGAAATATATCTAGAGAACTCGTAAGTGTAAATAAATAAAATAAGATATTTTTTGTTTTGCTCTCTAGATGAAATTTCATAATCACCAGCGCATAAGCCATTGCTGGAACACCTTTATACCTTTTAGCCATGTCCTTCTCGTCGAATGCCCCATGCTGAATGAGCGATTCAGCGACAGACTTTGTCATTGCGGTATCATCCGTATATTTTTTGACAGGTGCTGGAAAAAAACAACAACTGAATATGAGATAAAGTTACAATGAGAAAACGAACGTTGATCACCTTTGAACGGAGGTCCTTCCATCTTGTCGAAGTACTTCTGAAGGACCACCTTCGATACGGACTCTTCGTTCTCGTACGGTGAGCCCAGGCAGTCGCCAAGTAAGGCGCCCAGCATGCAACCGCGAAACTTGCTCATCGACACGGCAGAATCGAAAGCGACCGCTACCATTTTGGGAATTGTGGTGGTCATCCCGTTAAAAAAACTGGCTGATTAAAAAATATTTAACATGTTTGTATAGTTTATCTAAAATTGAACATACCTTCCGACTGTTATAGCCTAAACCTATGAAACCTCAGTTTGATAAAAAGAAAGTTTCTTAATGAAATTAAAAGAATCGATTATATTTATTTATTTTTGTAAATTATATTTTAATATTATAATTGACAGTTTTGGCATTAAATAATATAATCAAAATAAGTGACTTAAAATTGGTATTAACAAAATTTACGCTTAATATTAATTTTCTAAGCATATAAATTAAACGTTATATTCGATTTTTAATCGATTATGACATAATTAACATTTTCGGGCGGGCTTTGATCTAGAAACGACCAGTTTGGTTATATTGCCAATGAAGAAGCCACTTGTTGAACAATAATCAATTGAAAAATATTTATTAATTAATAATAATATTTTATTTATTATTTAATATTGTTATATTTATTTGGGAAACTATGTCAGAAACACAATCCGTCTCACAGGTTTGATTACAATTATTTTCTCTCGTTGTCTTCAACTCTGTATCTGCCAGAGTTGTCTGAAGAAGGGGCAAGTTATGGCCAAAATCAATAATAAAAATATTCATTGGTTGGATTACGTCATTAAAATCTACAAATAAGAAAAATCCGGCCTCTTTTCGGACAACTCGACAAGTTTACCAGAGTTGACAACCATTAATCGACAACCACAATTCATCATTTCTACTCCACAGTTGTCCGAAGAGTGGACAAGTTACAGCCGAAATGCATAATAAAAACATACAACAAACAAAGGTTGGATTACTTCATTAATATCCAAAAATCTACAAATAGGAGAAACCAAACAACAGAAAAGAGTAGGAGAATATATGTTGATTATTTCAATCCAACCTATTCTTTTTATATTTTTGTTATGCATTTTTGGGGCTTTACCTTGCTCTCTCTTTAGAAAACTACAGCACAGTTGCCTGAACAGGAGGCAAGTTACAGCCAAAATGTTTAATAAAAACATAACAAAAAAAGTTTGATTATGTCATTAAAAACCAAAAATTTACAAATAAGATACAACCAACCAATAAAGAAGAGCCTGAAAATAATAACATTTAGATTATTTTAAGGGATGTTTTGCTTTTCGGCCCAAAGCTTTGAACGGGAAGAAGAAAGTATTGCTTCCAGACCCCTTGAACATTTTTTCAAAACAATTATGGCACAATTCTTATAAAAGGATATGGGAAAGTATCGAAAAGAAAATTGAGGTGAGTGTATATTATTTCAATTCAAAATTCAATTATTCTGGTTACAATTTTTTTCAGAACATTGATGATAGTGTCACAGAGTCCCTTTTGAAAGATTTGGTCAATTTTATTTCTGACGCTCCCCCTTCACAGCAAATCCCGACAGCTGCTATTCTTACAGGTAGAAATTTCGAGATTTCGTGTTTCCAAATTAACCGATTAATTTTCAGGTATCAATTTGCCGGACCACAACTTGCTTTTTGGCCGGTTGGAGCAGAAGTTGAAGGCCGAAGGGGTCGCCAGAAGCGTAGCTACTCTTAGGTCTGCCGATTGCGTTTCGGTTCGGCACACGGTTGAAAGAGCCGTCGGACAGCTCATATCCTGCCCTGAACAGATTGTATGTCCCTCTTTTATTGTATCATTTCTCTACTGACTCACTTAAAAATTCAGGAAGAGACAGTGGATAGCAGCGATGAGGAAGAAAATGTAAAATTGAAGAGGTATCAATGCACTCTACCTAGACTTGTCGAATGGTATACAAACCCAAACTCTAGAAGCCCTCCGAAAAAAGTTAAAACATCCGAAAAGAAACTAATAATCATCATTAAAGATTTTGAAACGTTTTCTGATAGAATTTTACATGATTTTATTCAAATTTTAAGGTATATTTTTGATTGCGTTATTGTTTAGTAAATGACTATTATATTTTATTAAAATTTCAGTGGTTATCGAGATCGTCTACCTATTATTTTAATCTTTGGAATTGCAACCACAATAACAGCACTTTCAGATATCTTGAACCATAAAACCACTTCAAGACTTCTGTTAAAAACTTTTCAGTCACAACCATCTGTCTATTTCCTTAACAACACATTGAATAAAGTAAGTTACAAATGAAAAATGAATAGCTAAAGTTAGAGATTTGTTACATATTGTAAGCATCCATAAAACTCTTTTCTTAAAGGTGATATTTTTACTAAATATTGCAATAAGATTATTAACCAATAATTCAAATTGACTGCTGAAAACCTATTGGTATTGATAGTTATCATAAATACAGGTTGAGAGATATTCACTCATGCACCAACCCACACATACACAGAGTCAATAGACAATAAAGCAAAAATAAGAATTGCTACTGACCATTGACCTTTGACTTGCTGTTGAACACCATAATACACTAAGACATAAAGTCACTTAAAGAAGATTGATCAGAGTTGCACCGTTTCATTCTCATGGGTTAGGGTGAACGTGGGGCTAGCAGGAAATGAGATCACAAAATGAGGACTTGCCAGTTGCTTATGCAAAAGTTCCTTTACCTGCTGTTAAGAGATGGTTGATTCATCACAACATGGATAAATGAGAAGAAATATGGAGTAATTCACTTCAGGGATGACTGACTTCTTCACATTTCAGGTGTTTATAGATGAGCCACCTGCAAATGGACAGGCTCGTGCAACTTACAGGGCACAGGAAAATGGCTCAATATACCTTTCATTTCAAAATTATCCCCGACCCTGCTTGTTCTTGCAGTTAGGCATCGTCTTAGACTGTGGACCCCTTCTCCTGGCCAGCATAATGGCTCCAGGCTTGTTTTGCATCATTAGGGGCTTCACCCTCCCCAAAAAAAAAATCATGTTGAAACCAAAGTGCTACCATATTCTTGAAGTTGGTGTCAGGAATAAACCATTTGTATAAAATTAATACTGTACTTTGATTATTCAGAAATCGTGAGATGCGGTCTGATGTGATGTAGGTTTCAGAAATACATTTTCTTTATCGTGCCAACATTTCGATCTTTATTGAGATCATCTTCAGGGCCTGGGATTTACAAACATTGTTTAAATTACGAAAATAGTGAATTTAATGAATTACAATGAAGTACACTTCACTAAAGCTCTCTGTCGCCATTTCAATTGTCGTTGAGAATCCAAACCGATTACACATTTGAAAAATGGCAAAAGGAGGGAAAACTCATAAGGTAGGGTTGAGATGGGGAGTTGATGTCCTAGTGGATCGAGGTCACGATAGCTCAGGTGGTAGAGCAGCGGCGTATCTATCCGAAGGTCGTGGGTTCGAATCCCTCTCGTGCCATTAGCTTTTTTTCATCTCAACTAAAAACCTTAATTAATTGTAAAGTATTAATTGGTCAAGCGGACCACGAAAATAGTGAAATTAAGCATTAAATTAGATTATATAGGAGCTGGCCTCTTTACGACCTGTGTACTGAGACAAGTGTTGGTCTATTGTGCATCTCAATTTTTTTTTTATCTAGAGCCCCTTATTAAGCTTGAGGCTTTTTAGCAGAGTCCAAAGATTTTTCAAGGCAAAAATTCATTTCTATCCCTACTTCCTTCCCTTTTTTTGTTTTTTTTTGTTTTTTAAGTGAGGGTTAATTAATGATTAATTGGAGATTGTGAGATGCGATCTGGTGTGACGTAGGTTTTAGAAAAACATTTTCTTTGTTGTGCCAACATTTTGATCTTGATAGATCATCTTTCTATAATGTAATTATGATATTTATTACATTACATAGTCATGATGTAAAATAACAAAATTTAAAAATAAAATGCACACAAATCCAAGATCATTAGAATTTTAATGTGCATTGTAATTCTTTTAGTAGTAAATATAGACAAATGCAAATTGAAACAATGACAATGAAGCAAGCCAATTATAAATTGGAAAATTATTATTTTTTTGTAGTAATTACATTTAAACATATTATATGAGCATCAGTGGGTGCAACGATTACTTTCGACATGGCAACTCATCTCATCAGGCCAATTAAAACTTTGGCAGATCATCTTATAGGGAAATGTTATTCATGTTTTATCAAACATACAACTTAGCAAAATTGAAAATGTTAAAATGAATAATTGGGCATTTATTATTATTATTTATTATTTTTTAGATTTTCCTGACTCCGGAATGTCCTTTTCAGTTGAGTAGGAAGTTATTACAGTTCTTCACAAATGTCTTCCTTTTCTATGATTTCTCAGTCAATCGTTTTATCCAGGCCATTAAGGTATTTATTATTTTAAAACTTACATTCTTCCTTGTACATTACTTGTTTTTAGTACTGCCTCATGGAACATTTCCGCGAAGGCCAACAGACCATCGGCTTACTATGTACGACCGAGGAGAACATCAACGATGCTGTCGGAATGCTCAAACATGATGACCTCGAATGGATAAGAAATCTGGAGTCTTTTAAAAACTACGTGAAAACAGAAGCTGATGAGCAGATGACGAAAAACGATGAGCACACAAGGTTGGAAGTGTTGAGGCTGATGCTTGGACTCAAAACATCCATAAAAGAGTTCTATGTAGGATTGAACCTTCTGCACATCCTCGTATCTAACTTGCCTCAAGCGCCATTGGGAAAACATGTAATTACATATACATTGAATTGTCCTATCATGTATTTTAATTATTTCTCTCTTACAGTTTAGAGAGATATACTGTACAGCTTTAAATAAGGATATTACAAAATTACCAGAATATAAGGAATGCAGGCAACTCCTAGGGTTTTTGTCTAAAGAGAAATTAATTGACAAATTGGAAAAGGTAAGTTAAAGCTTAGCTAAACTTCCCAGACTAAGATAATGACAAGGTAAATTAACTCCATACTTTTACACTAATAAATTACATTTAATAAATTAACACTGATACAACACAAACACTATATACATTTAAAAAAACCCATCACCCTGAGGTAACAGAACAACGATCTGTACCTGCCACTAAGCCTCAAGATATGCACAGGTCCGGTGATATATCAAATTATTGCCTATAAGTGTCAATCCTTCCACAATTGAAAATTCTCGACTGTTATCATATTATATTAATCCATATATGTTTAGCACTTATAATTGACCATATTATTTATTTCAATTAATTTTTTTAAATCAAGATCTTGATTGAGATGAAAAAGTTAGTGTCATGAGCGGGATTGGAACCCATGACCTTCGGCTCAATCACCGCACTAACCGCTTGAGTGAAGTCACGATAGCTCAAGTGATAAGAAGTCGAGGGTTCAAATCCCATTCATGACCCTAATTTTTCATCTCAATCAAGACCTTAGATAAAAAGAATAATTGTTATTTTATTCTTGCATAATGGGCACCTATGCGGTCACTTAACAACCAGAAGGTGCCCATGAGTTATTCTTGTATGTCCTATGTGTAGTCTTGTCAGCATCGACTTTTCCCTTTTTGACCTGTTCTTCATTGACCAGGGACCGACGCTTTTTGTAACCTGCCACAGTTTGGCAAAGTATTTTTATTTTTATGAGACCAGTGGTTTTTTTTCATTCTCCTTTTACTGTATTTTGAAAGTAATAGTTTTTTAAAAGTGTAGTCGGGGAAGGTCATCTGGATGCTTCTTTGGTGTGCTTTTAATTGTTTTTATCTTATTTATTAGAGGTATTAGAAGAAGAATTCTATGTCTTTATCTTGGTGTTCTCTGATAATAACATTTCATATTAATTTCAGTTACTGATGTATTTAAGCAATGATTCAATTATTGAATGGAATCTTGAAATCGCTGAAAAGATTGTAGATTTCAAAGAAAAACTTGAATCGCTAGATACAAAGCCAGTTACCAAGAGTCCATCTAAAAGTCCAAAAAAAATTATTAACATGAACATCAAAAGCCGTGCTGAACTTAGACAGGTATAATTTAAAATTGAAAACAAGTTTTCCAAATCCAAGGCTAATTAAAACGCCATTTAGAGAGTGTTCGAGATGGGTGGAGACAAATCGCAGTTTGATAAAATAAGGAGTGAAATTCTGGATGAATTAATGGGCCATGTGATCCCAAAGGCAATAAAACCCTTTACTTCTAAACCTTTGTGGGAGGTGGTAACACTAGTTGAATCCGATGCGAGGTACCGTGTAGTTCCAAGAGTACGAGCTCCGATTCACACCGCCCTCAACAACCCAGCCAACTATCTTCTTGTAAGTTGGTAAAATTTATACAAAACAAATAAAAAGTAATTGATTATTAATTACAGTGTGATTGCTGTAAGCTGAAGTATCCAGGTGAGATTTTACCAACAATGCCGGATATCTGTATTGTTTATAAACTGCACTTGGAAAGTGGGAACTTGATTAATATGTACGATTGGCTGCAGGTATGACTTTTAATAAACAACTATTGTAATTTTAATAATATTTTTAACACTTTTTTTTCTTCTAGTCTTTTAATATAATAGTGAATCCTGGGAAAGATGACACTGATATTGATCCCAAAGTTCAGTATCCTTTTAAATATTTTACTAATTTAAGAGAACTCATTTCCTGCATCCACTTTTGGGTGTGATCCTTAGATGCCATGAGCACATATGAGCGACTTTTAGGCATTCGCTTCAGTGGGAGGGTAGGAATGACACTGGGAACAGTACTTGAGCTGGGCAACTGGCTGACTGCCCTTGGTCCTAGCCAAATTCATCCGGGACAATCTCGCCATGTTATCTAAGTCATCTACTCCACCATACTTTTACTGACATATGGCAGTTTTTACCTTGTTTTAGCAGATGGTCTAAGACCGGCGAGGGTGTTGCCTGTGCTGGGTATTGCATGTGTCCAATTCATGGTCATCCTACATGGTAGAATTGTACGGGAATTTGCACGAGGTTGGGATGTTTCGAGACAATGGTGGCTCTGCTTACCTGGTCTGCACCACTCCCTCAGCGTCGTTACTGCAGTCCGTGACGAACTCCATTGACACTCTCATTGTGCTCTAGTTAGAAAAATGCCACAACATGGAGCCTCTCAGCAAAACAGTGGTTCTACCCAGTCTGGAGAGTAACAAAAAGGCAAATGAGGCAGCTAAGGCCAAGGCATCCCAACCTCTGGACTTAACCACTAAAATCCAACCACCTTATGCTAAAAATGCAATAAAAATCATGATGGCTCTTAGAAGAAGGGCCATCCTCAAGCATTTAAGACCATGCAAGGTTGACAAACTTACTTTTGGACTAAAGCCCACATACGTCAAGCATGTAGCTCAATGTATCCCACCTAATTGAATGGTGCAAATTTTCATGGTCCCGAGTTCGAATCTCATTGCCTTAAATTCAAACCCAAAATATTTCACCCTTTCCAAAAAAAAAAAAAAAAAAAAAAAAAAAAAAAAAAAAAAAAAAAAAAATCCCAAGGGTTGAGTGACCCCTGCTGTTGCAAATTCTTGTAAAAAGAAAGAAAAAATGGATAATGGAGGAATATCGAGTCCTCCAATGATTCATATGTATATAGAAATGTTTGTAAGAAAGGATAAGAGAATACGTTGTCTGTTTAGCTTGTATAGCACGCTGGCAACTGAAATTACCAAGCAGTCAGTATCCAAGAGCCTAACAGATGGGCAGAGTTGGCAAGTACTCGGTTAACAAAATAATTCAGTCTTCACCTATCATTTTCATTTGCTTATCTTCATTGGATTGGTCTGCCAGATGCCTTTTGGTTTTATTTTTAATGTGTCTGTCTGATATGCAACTCATCTTACGTATAGCAATTTTATTGTCTTTAATCATACTGGTCTGCTTATTCTCACTGGTTTTTTCTGTGATACAAGCCCTCTGTTTTTTGTGGAAAAATTGACAACATTCAGAGTGGGATGGTAATTATGCTTACCGGCGTTAAGTCCCGCTTTTGGAATACTCTGTAGTGTACTTAACTGTATTTCATCACATGCAATGGTGTGGCATACCAGCAATATAATGGACGGAATATTCAGGAGTTTTGCTCCAATGCAATTTTAGATCATAACACATTAAAAAATATTTTCTTTTTCATTTTTCTTAACATAAGTCTAGAGCGAGATTCACCCAAGCTGTGTCAGAACTGGAATACATGGGCTTCATAAAATCATCGAAAAAGAAGATGGATCACATGCAACGATTAACTTGGGGAGGACAATCTAAAGTTTAGGAATATGATGTAATTACCAATATTTATTTATTTTTTAATTTAATCTAATTTTAAATATCTGATATTGTCTTTCATTTTATATTGCATTAACAATAGATCTTGTTGAATTTGAAAGGTTTGGAAGATGAATGTAAGATTATTTATATGGTGAAAATGATAATTAAACTTTAGTTAATAATTGTTAGCGGTAGTTTGCTATTGGCTAACATATAAAGAAAAAAGGCATCTTTATTAAAATTGATTATGTTGATCAACCATTTTCATTATATTTTATAATTATTAAGTGTTGTAATTAGAGAATCAAGAATAAGGACAGAGGACAATTAACCGCTTCCAGTTCTATGATGCTTTTTTTTGCTGACCATCATATGTTACAAGAGAATTACAAAGTACAGAACAAGGCTTAAGGACAATCAACATCTGGTTAGTATGGCCCCTGCGCTGATTCTATGGGAACATTTTGTTGTTCTGGAGCAAAAATGTTTGTGTAGGAATTCTTTAGGTAGTTCACATGGGATTGAAGACTTCGGATTCTGAGCTGGGCTTGTTCGAAGTTGTCGTTCAAACTTGTTATTTGGGCTTGCATCTTCTGCCTTATCTGAAAATAAATCATGGTTAATATCCTGTGTGTTGAATTCTTAAACCCAAAGCAACTCACTTCATCACGATCTTTTTGAGCGGTCCTTGCTGCCGCTCTGCTTTGGGCAAGTTGTCTTTCTAGCTCCGAAATCTGACTCTGCAAATTCCTTCGGACAGATTCACACCGATCCTTGGTCCTGGCTACCTGACGGGCACTTTCTTCCCTGAGCGTTTCAAGCTGCGTCTGCAACTGCAAAGCTTCATGGGTCTTTTCATCAAACCTCCGTTCATTATTTAGAGCCAGTTCTTCAAGGCGTGCAACGGTTGCTCTAAAAATAAATCATATTTACTTTAACAAAACAACAATTAAAACCAAGCAGATCTGATCTTACCTTAATTTTGCATTTTCTGATTTGATTTCCTCAATTTTCTTTTCGCCTGTAGTCAAACTGTTTTTCAAATGGACCTTTTCAGCATCATAATTACTTGAATCTTTCTTGTATTCTTCAAGCTCTTCTAAGAGGGCCTGGTGCTAAAATTTAAACAACGTTTAGAACAAACCATCAAACAGTCCACAATATTACCTTTTCAGTTAATTCATCCATTTCCTTCCTTGTCTGTTCTGCAGTCCTCTCGGCGATCAATCTCAGCTGCTGGGTTTCCTGAAGTTTCAACTGTGTCGCCTTTAGCATGTCTGGAAGAGGAGTTAGTTCTTGCAATTTTTCTTGGAATTGTGTCTGAAATGTTTAACACTCTCACTGATGGAATTAAATATTCTATTTTCAATTAGCAATCATTTTTTTAAGGAATGGTAATACCTTCACTCGTTGAATTTCGAGATTTACTTGTTCTCCAATTCTATTATTTTCCAATTCCATTATATCAAGTTGGCGTCTTTGCTCTTCGACTGTTTGTTGCGCATTTAGGTATTTGTTTCTGTAGTCTTCCAGTTGTAACATCACATCTTGCATATTGGTTCTCATTTCCTCAATCTCTTCCTGGCCTTCCCTATATCTCTGTTTGGCAAGGACGAGCTGTTGTTCCATCTCCATCATTTGGTCTTTTGAACCTGCAATCTGAAGGGAAATCCATAATGTTGGATAAAAGTAAAAATTGACAAACCTTCATACCCTCATTTTTTCATTTTCAACAGCTTTGAGTCGTTCCAGCAAATCGTCCACTCGCGCCTCAGCCTCTTCACTCTTTTCCAGTAGGGCCATAGCGTCTCTTTTTGCCGCGTCAAATTCAACACGGACGAGTGATATTTCCTCAACCTTGACATTGTAGTCTTGTTGAAGTTTCTTGTACTTTTCCCTCATTGTACTCAACTGGCACTCGAGTGCCTGGGCTCTGTCTATGCCCTCTGTTTCGTATGTCGTCTGTTGCTGAATGGGTCGGTTTGTGCACACTGTGAGTGGTTTTTCGATGCTCGTCGCTGATGGGCCTCCACCAGGAGATGCTGCTGCACATGTCAATAGTTTCTTCTGCAGCTCCAGCCCTCTTCTTTCAGCTTGCACAAGCTCCAGTTCTTTTTGAATCGATCTCACCTCTTCCTCCATGGATTTAACTATCGATTCCTATAAAGTACAAGCAAACAATATATATTTGTTATTAATTACTACCTCATTCTTTATCATCAAAAATCACATTGTTGTGCACTCAATTTGAACATTTTTAGTTAAAAATATAGGTTTTTTTAAATAATGATTAAAAAAGTTTATATTAAAATGAATTTTACCTGTCAGCTCTGTACCTTACATGCCATTTATTTCTTAGTTAATATGTCTTACAATTTACATCTATAGGCAATAGTTAAATAAATCTGCCCAATGGCAGCATTAAATTGTATTTTAAATTTCTCATGCAATGACATTTGGCATTGATAGTATTTTTCTTTATTTTCTATACCTTTGTGAACTTTTCCCATTATCTTCTATTCATCACCATTAGGAGTTTTCTTCTTTCTTCAAAATTTTCGTCTTCTTTGGCTATTTTTTGTTCCAGTTTCATATTTAAGTTGAACTGATTTCACTTTGCGGTTTAGAGATTTTTGTTTTAAGGTGAGTATTGATAGTTATTATTTTTTTTTTTAAACAAAACATTAGGAATTTGACAAAACCTTTGCTGATAAACTAGAGTTGAAAACAAATTGGAAAAACAAACCACCACCTACAACTCTGCAATGAATGGCCTAATTAAACAGAACCTAGTGAAATACCCAAAAGCCTTAAAAAACCAGTATCAACCCTAATAAAAAAAGATTTGGACGATGTTCAAAGCAAATCTTTGGAAGGGTTTGTAGAATTGTAAAGTGGGTGTTTATTGAAAAATGAACAATGGTTATCTGTCATTATCAAGACTCACCTTAATTGAGTACCTGCGCATCCATAGAATCGCACACAAAAATAATTAAATATAAGGCTATTATACATTCAGACACAGTAATAAATACATTTAAAAATGTAAAAATACTTGTACAATTGTTTATTAGAAATTTTTTATGGAAGAACATATTTTTCTACATTTGAAACTGAATTAATAATTTGTTTTCTTCTGAAGTACTGTAGTTAATAAAATATAATTTCATGATACATGCACTATTCTAACCTATTATAATTAAGTTTTACAACAGTTAATTTGTAATTTATTTTAAGAAAATTGAAAACTTGGTTATTCTATTAAATATAGAATTTTGTACATCTATGATCAATAATGATCAAATTAACCCAGACAGAATAAAAAAGTCATTCTAATTTAGTAATTTAATAATATCAGCATGTAGTATTATTGCTAAACCTGCTAAAATAAAAAATACAATAATGAATTTAACTATCATTTAAAATTATCTACTTTAACGAGAAGTTTTCTCTAATATTTTCTGAGAATTGAACTAAACAAATATCTTTTAAATATACAAAACTATATAACTAGAGAACTGATATTTACCATGTTACCTGTTTGGATAGACACTTCCGATTCTTGTTATATTAATTTTCAGAGTAACAGGTTTTTATTTTGCGAAATCATTTTTAAACTATATACAGCAATGAAAACTAGTATATACTGCCTATAGATTGTATCTTTTTTTGTCTTATTAATGACTAACAATGAGTACATGGCAGCTACAGAGGTGAGTGTTGATAATTTCTTAAATGTGTAACAAAAACTGTACTTTCAAATTGGATGTGCTTTGTGTTTTCCTTTTTTTTCTGTTTTTTTGTTTTCTTCTTTTTTTGGATAAATTATATATCTTTAATTTTTTAACTCAATTAGTTCAATTTGTATGCATAAATGTTGAAATAGGAAAACAAAAAGCCCCCAATTAAAAAAATAAGTTGATTATTGAATTTGGGCCCAAAGTATATAAACCATTATACATTTTTCATAAGAAACAACATACCATGTCGGCTTTGTCTTTTTTAAATTTTTGAGACTTTAGCCAAGCCTTTTTGCAAACACCACCCGGTGCATCGCCCATCATGCCTTGTTGGGCACCAGGGCAACCTTGCGTGCATCCTCCTCCTGGTCCACCTCCTCCCCCCATCGCCTTCCAAAGTTCAGCTTTGCACACCTTCCCTCCAGGTGCTCCACCTGCAGCACCTGCTAGCGAGTTAATCTGTACTCGGATGGAAAAGAAAAATTTATGCACGTTTTAATTCTGTCAATTCCCTGACTACACACAGCAGCTAAAAGTTTTGAGTGTTCAGTATTCAACTCAGAACTTTTATGCATAAGAAATGCATCAACAAACCATGGCGGCGGGACAATTGGGGTTTGAGCCTGCGGGCACGGGAAGCCCCATACTTTGGTAAAGGTCTGCTTTACATATCGGTCCTTCTTTACGTTGCAAGTGTTCTGTGTACTGAAAATAGGCCAAAAAGAACAATTTAATGAGACAGTTCTATTGCTGCTTTAATTTTTTTCATTTGTCAGAAAATATATCACACTCCTTAAGAAAACTAATCAAAGGTCAAAACAGTAAGAAAAAAATGAATTTTGAATAAGTAAATAGCTTAATTATTGTCCCAAAGAAAAGACCAGAGATGACGTGTGTTCTTAAACTTTTCATTAAAATATAAAGGCAGTAATTTACTTTCAAGACCTGTCACACAATTCCAATTGTTTAAACTGCTGCCAGAAACTGTATTGGGTCAGTTGGTCACATAATTTCAACTTTGTTAGACTTGATTGAAGCAATCCAATATTTTCATGTAAGTGTTTTGTCAAACAGTAAAATTTTTCATGAGAAACTCAATAAAAAAGAAGTATAAATTGAATTTACTGACACAAGGAATAGGGCAAAGATAGCTTTATTTCTTAGATTATTCGCAATAAAATTCAGTTGTTTAATGATTTTTTTGTCCTAATACAAATGTGAAAATATGATTTTTTTAATAATTAAAATAACCTTCATCTCTAGTCATCAATGACCTAGTATTAATATTTCAGTTTAAGATGGTAGATTGCAAAATAGTTAAGGTAGGCAAATGAAAAAAGTTGGGAAATAACCGAGCCAAGTTCACTTTGAAAGTCGGATTTTAAAATTGTAAAAAACAAATTTAGATTATTTTTTATATGAAGCCATTTATTAAAAATACACTGAGAAAGGTCAGAGACTTGGGAAAAAATATAACTATTCCTGATATAAAATTAAGTCACATAGTTGAAAATGTTTTTAAGTTTGAATTGCATAAGTACTGTTCAAATTTGAAATAGCATCAGGATTTTACCAAATGTAAAATTGTACCAAATTCAACATTAAAATTTTAAAAATATACAAGTGATCGTCATTCAGCCAAATAAGTTGTGTAAAAATTCTCTTTTAAAAAATGAGTTCTCAGATGAAACAAACTGCTAGAAATATTTAGAATAATTTGAAATGAGAAAATAAGTTGTTTTCATTGAAGGAGTGTGATATATATATATTTGCTAAATGTTAACAGATTGTTCTTTCACATGTTTATGTGTTGCTTAGATCGTAAACAATATGTGTTTCTCATTGATTTATTGAAATCAATTTTTTGAAGTATTTCATTTCTTGAGTAGAACATGAAGATTGGATTTTACGAGGTTCTGAGGATTAATTTTGAACAAAAGAATGTTTCATTGAAAATAAAAAACTAAAATGTTACAAAAAGTGAATATGCTAGTATTACCTTCATAGTTCTGACTTAAAAAAAACTTGACGAAAAAATAAAAATTGCAATTATTAAAAAAAACTACTTCCGAATTGTTGAAAGGGAAAACAAAACTAAACCATAACTTGTTTTAAATCCAGCTGACACAATTCTCAAAATTATACCCACAGTTGTTTGTTGTGGTAAACTTTAAAATTAAAAAAAAAATTCACAGTGACAGAATCCCAATGAAAACACGAATCCGATTTGGTAAATTGCACAAGTCTTACCACAGTAGCTTGTTTTTCCAACGTAGAAGGCTGGTGCTTGCTCGATTCCATGTGTTGCCCTGGTGGTATGCTTGAGGTGGTAGGGTCGGTGAGACCAGCCGAATGCGCCTGAGAATCGTCGTTTGTTTGGTCACCTGATGGAGCTGATCTACAAAAACATCTATTGTACCCGCCTTACTTCTTTAAAAAATGACCACTCCTGCAATGCAATCCTTTGCAAAACATTTCACAACGAGCGGAGTCACCATATTGTATTCTGTTTCTTTTTGTGCACTTACTTAGTTTTTAATATTTATATAAATATATTTTTGTTTTGTTATAAGTTGTGTGTACTACATTGTTATGAATATCACACTCCAAGCATCTGGATACAAGACATATGTTATTGAAAAGTTAAATATACTTTTTTTATAAATAGTTTTGATTTATATCCATTTAAAGCTGTCTTATTTTAATTTGATCTCTGCTAAATTTATATTTATTACAAAATAAACGTTTTCATAAGTTAAGTTTGAGGAAATTTTAAACTATTTTCTTATTTTTTAGTAAAACATATTATTAGTAATACTGTCATATGTAAAATGATTCATACACAACATGCACAATTTTACATATATGATGCCAATCTTGCACATTTCACGCCAAGTTGATAAAACATGATTCCGTATCAATAAAATACCTTATATCTGATGTTGCAGAAGTCTCATAGAAATCTTGAAACTTGTGCGGCTGTAATGGTACTGCATAAGGCCCCATTTCTTGCTGATAACATGACTGAAATATTATTTGTAGCTAAGGTTTATTTATTAAAAAAAAATGCTGTTAAACATTAATGGCTTTTAAATTATCACCAAACTTTTTTATCATGACACTAATCGGGGTTCGTAAAAAAAAAATTGTTTATAATGTTTGGCATATTTTTGAAATGATTTTGTAGAACAGGGAAATTTTATATTTGTTATAAGATGTAATAAGAAACTACGATACTATTTTTATTCAGCTAAAAAACCCAACTTGCTATCAAAGGTTAAATTAAAAAATAATTCTTTGCCCTTTTCATCTGATATAAACAATTTCATTAGTTAAAAATTTGAAACTACTTTAAGAGACTATACAGAGTTTTTATGAATACCTTGCAAATTGTTAAATAAATATAAAATAAATCATTAATTAGCTATTATATTAAGTTTTATAAATAAATGAATAAAAGCATTTAAAAAATATTTATTCCTCTAATCAACTACCAATTTTTTTCTCACCAAATTTTGAACTACAAATAATTTAGAAGGGCTGATGTTACTTCAACTTAGGCAACAGACTACAGTTCTTTTGAGGTGCAAAGATGCAGGCACAGTTATTTTTGATTTTGTTTCTAAAATAAACAGAAGTTATGAGGACAAATTCAAAAATACCACTTTTTTTGTCCTCATTCTGTACTTATTTTAGCTGGCTCAATGTTTGTTCTTTTAAGCTTTCAATGGTAGTCTGGAGTTTGTGTAGGTTGGCGATTGCTTTATCCAGTTCTTCAGAATTCATCTTTTTAGGTTGAAGACAATACTGGGATATCTGCCTTTCATATTTAACTTTTGTTTTGTGTTTTGGCAGTATATTCTCTTGTTCTTTTGTTATAATAGCTAGTTTCCTTTGGATTTCAGCAAGGTGTTCATTTTTCTCCACGTTATCATCAAGATACTCGGTGAGCTTTGAGAGCCCTTCAAAATCGAATACCCCTTTTTGCGGTTTTGTCTCTACGTTATATTTTGTCAAGTTGCTGAATTCTCCCATAGAAAATTTTATATCTGTTGTATGCTCTTCTTCATAACATTTTGTCCTTTTGTAATTTACCTTTTTTGTTTTTGTCTTTGGTTTCACAAGTTCTTTTTTGCTTATTTGCACTGCTTGTGTCATTTGCTTTGTCTTTTCTATGGGGGCATTATTTGGAACTTCTTTCTCTGTTTCATTTTTTAATTTATTTGGAATACTGGAAGCCAATGTTGTTGGAAGAGAGAAAAGCGTTTCTTGGGTATGCAGCTGTATTACAATTTTTGAATGTAATTGGTGTAATTTGAATATTGTATTCCTTGCCTGTTTCTCTTGACTGCTATTTAGACAGTGGCTCAAAATAAGTTTTTTCAACTCGCTGCCTTTATTGTTTATGTGGTTGAGAATCTGGAGTTGTTGCTTTTTTAGAGAATATAGAAGGTTTTCCATATGTTGGACATTTTTATTTATCAATAGTTTAAGCATATCTTGATTTCTTTTGATCCTGTCTATCTGTTTCTCCTCAAATTGCTGCTGTTGGAGCAATTGCTGCAATAAAATGTATAAATGAAGAATTTTATTACGTACGACATATTTCTGATCTGTGGTTAATGTTGTATGCAGCAAATTTTCTTGTAAGTGTTGTTGTTGTTCCATATTTTTATAAATCAAAGCTTTAGTCTTTTCTTGCTGTAACTTTTGAAATCTGAATCCAATCTCTAATCTTTCCTGCACTGTATTCAATACTTGGCGCAGAACTTCATGGACCTTATGTCTTTGAATGTTCTCCTTAGCTAATGACTGCAGGCACTCAAGATCAGGATCGTTAATACAGTTTGTATCAGAATTGACCCTGGATTTTGATATGGTCTGGTTATAGCAAGGGAAAACATGACTGTTTAAACTGTTCTTACACGAGGATACAATATTTTTTGCATCCTTTATCATTGTCTCTTGTTCCGAAGAAAATTCCAAGGACATGATACTGTAGTCTGCAGAGTTCAGGTCATTCTTACTATCACCTGGAAAAAGTAATGGTATTAAATTTTCCCTCTCCCATTTCTCATTACTTTTTTGCCTTTTCAGTTGAAATTTAAAATTAGAAGCTGTCCATTTGATCGACAACTCATCCTTATCTACTTGGTTTTCTGTTCGATCTTCTTCTATGCACTTTTCAGTCATTGTTTTCAATTCTGTAATTTGTTCTTCAATTTCTGTCAATGATGATATTTCTTCAATAGTATCGTCTGATTCTCGATCTTCCATAGTTTTAAGCTTTTTTGTATTTACAGATGAATGCTCTTCTAAATTCTTTTGGTATGTCGCTTTCTCTTCTTCTTTGAATAATTTTATTTCTTTTTCGTGAAGTTCCTGTAGTCGTTCAGTGTGAAATTGGCTTTGGAGCAGTTCTTGTTGGTTGATAATTTGTTGAAAAAGACCTTCATATAACTTCTGATGTTGTTGTTGTAATATGTGTATGTTACCATAAACCTCCATGACTTTTTGAGGTGTACAGTCCAATTTTCTTAACATATCTTGAATCGATTCTTGCTTAGAGACATTTTGCTGCATCAATATGTTAATTTTCTGTTGTTGCTGAAGCCTTTGGATCTGCCGTTTTATTTGAAGTTTTTGTCTGTTTTCTAAGCCATTCTTCATATATTCTACTTGAAAGAGCTGTTGTTGTTGGGTATTGTGATGAACTTGATCGTTTAACATTTTTTGATGTTGTGCATAAAGTTCTTTCAGTTTGTCTTGCATTTTCTCCCAGTTTGAGCATAAGTACTGTTCGCCCACCAAATTCATGTGAAGGTCTTTTTGCTGAATGATATTTTTCAAGAGAGCCATTAAAGACTTCTCCTGCCACTTAAGTTGTGCCCATTGAACTTCCGTGTCTAGGACTGACAATTTCTTATTATCAGTGCCTTCCTCACTTGTCACATTAGTTTGCTGATCCGAATTGTTTGATTTACAGTCATTTACTTTTGGCACCAGTTCCCGCGGTGGCTTGCCAGCAGAGTTTACCACCTACGAAAACGATGCCATGTTAATTGAAAATTGTATTGAAATTAGGCTTTCAATTAAGTTTTTAAATTGACAACATGGCACTGGTGCCAAAAATAAATGCACTGTGCTTTAACTTTCTTCTTTATTTAATATCTTCATGCTGTGTTTGTTTCAATAATTAAGTTTTCATTCATAATTTCTTTGCAACTCAAACAGTAGTTTACTTTCAACCAAGAGCCAAATAGGTTTTTTTTAAACAATTACTTTATGAAATAACATTCAACCAATAAACTATGTTAATTCTCTTACCTGTCCCCAGGGGTATTGTTGACTTGCGTAAGGAACAAAAGGCTCTGGATATCCTGCCATCATCGGCACCTGACTCATCCCTTGAGGGATTGTATACGCCCCTTGGCTAATTGAAAACGTTTGAATTTGGTGTTCCAAAATCTGAGGTTGAGATTGTATTGCAGGTTCTCCAGTAATCTGCTGGGTGTAATATGGCATGCACTCGTTTTGAGAATCCATAGATGGATGCAAATTATCCGGCATGGCATGTCCTTGGGTGGTGATTTGTTTGTTGGTTTTTTTGTCAGAGCAAACAATTATCTTTGGGACTTGTTCTATCCCACCTGGACCACAAATGACCACCTAAAAATTAAAGACGCTTGTTATAAACAAATGACAAATTTTTGTTAACACTTTCACTGACTTTTGGCAGCTCTTCGACACATTTATCAGATTTCCTGATTGTAATCGGCTTGTTTGGTAGGCCAAGGTGTGTAGAACTCACATCTCTCAAGCCAACCAGTTGCTGAACACGTTTTGTGATTTCTTCAAACTCACTCATTTTCTCCATAAGCTCAGCCTGCTTTCTTTGCATTATCTGTATATCTTCTTCTGTCATCTCCTCTTTCTTAAAAAATAAAAAATAAAAATTGTAAATGTAACGATGAACAAGATTATCGACCTGCTGGGTACAAGAAGTCTTTTCAGAGGATCTTTGGAAGAGGTCAAAACAACAGGTTTTGACCTCTTCCGAAGATCCTCTGAAAAAATTGTAAATTTTATCAATTTTTTTTATTATGAATTTTTTATTCACCTCTGCATATCGTGCAATTTGCTCTCGGACCGTTTCAAGCATTTTAGCAGCATTGTTCGCCCTCTGATCGGCAATGCGCAGTTCCTCAAGAACAGTGGAATCTGATAGGTGTATGTTTTCAAATTTCTTCTGTTCATTCTCAAAGCACTGTAAAAAAAAGTCTCTAGTTGCTTTATGACAAAGGATTAAATGGAAAATATAAAATTTAAATGTGTACGTACCCCCATTGGAGCTTTCGGTGATTTTGATTGACTTTTGTTAATATCTTTCGATGCCTCCACAGATGGTAGAGCACTTGTTGTTGCTACTGGAATAGCTGCTCCTTAGATTCAAAAGGAAAAAGTAAATTAAACCTACTTTACATTATGGTACTAAGCATTTAAATACCTGTAGGATGAGTTGAAACTTGTTGCTCCAGTATTTTTTGACCTTGATTCCTGGATTTGAACTCAGCTGTGAAGTTGACGCATTGAATGAAAATGCCGAAAATATATTAAATAATTGTTACCTTTGTATTCCTCTTCATCTGTATAACCCTCATCTGATACACCCTCACTGTCAGTATATGCATATACCCTGTTGTCTTCCATCTAAAAATAAAAGTTAGTTTAAAAAAAAAACGCATTTTAATAAGTTAACGTGATAACCAACCCTTTTATTTTCAGGTAACAAATTAAAAAATTTCAGGACCTGAAATTCATAATTAAACAAATACTATTTATTCGTAAAAACAGATAAAAAGTCGTTTCAAAAATTTAGATTATTATAGTTTAAATTATCACATTTAGACAGCAGTTGACTGTTTCATTCACAAAAGAAAAAAATTAGAAATAGCACCATTAAAATAGTTTGTTCAAAACTGTTATTTAAAAATATTTGCAACATAAAAACTATTATTCAACCCTTACTATTTTTTTTTAAATCTTTTGTTTAAAATTATGACGGCTCCTTTGTAAAACATAAGAAAAATTGTTTTAAGTTTAGCTTATTTCTGTGGTAGAAGCTAATGTTAAAAGATGTGTCAGAATTTTATTATTCTTCATTCCATACAACAGAGTGCTATTTACAAAAAGTAAATTTGTATTTAAGTATGAAGAGGCTTTGTGTCTAATTCTTAAAATGATGGATTCAGACTTGCTTAATTTAAATCGTATTATAAATCTCAGGCAATGACTCTATTTTTGTTTTATTTCTTTCTTGAAGAAAATTAAATTTCTTTGTAATGTGGTATCTACAGCTGGAAGGGAAAATATAGATTTTTTTTTATTTTGCTTAACACAAGAAAAAATCCTATGTGAATCCATAAACTAGAAGATACATTTTTTGAGATGAAAATCAAAAAGCCTATATTTTTATTTTAATCTGATAAAAAAAAGACAAACCTTGTCTTCTTTTAAATAGTTTCTGAAAACTCTTAGAACCCTCTTTTTTTGTTCTCCTAATTCTACTTCTTCTGGATGGACTGGTCTTTTGGTCCTTAGCACATGAAATGCTTTATTTAGTTCATCATAGATATTGGTTCGGCCCTCTGATCTATAATGTTGGTCCTTTTGGCCACGTTTCTGCTTTTGACACGTATGCAAATGGCTTAATCTATTTTTATTCCTATTATTACATTCCTCCTTTAACTGTCCGACTTTGTTCTGAAATAAAACTGGCTCGTTTCAATTTGACCAAGGAGCATTATGCAAACATAAAAAATTATGAGCATTACTTTCATGAAGAGTATGTGTTGCCCAAATACTTTGTCAACATTTTGAAGTCATCTACAAAACAGAAAACATAAAATCAATATGGTATAGAATAAAATATTTTTTTAAAAAGACAGATTTTTCTTGTCAGTGTGGCCGGGTATTACTTATCTATTCGTTTAATAATTACCTTCTCAAGATATGAACCCCAAAATATTGTGTTGATCTTAACTTTATTTTGCAGGCCCCTAAATAACAAAATGAATATTAACTATAACACAGATGCCAAACAACATAGTTTTTGTGATTTTTTTTTAAATGTTGTTATATAAAATTGATAATTTTGTCATTCATATGTTATAGCTATTGAACAAATGTTCAAATAAAAAATAAATAAATAAATAAAACTGAAATCCTTTTTTTTTTTAATTGATTTTACTTATGCTTGTAAATTTGATTTTAATTCTTTAAAAAAATACAAAAAATTATTCCGTTCATACAGAATAATAATTAATACACAAAACTATTTTTGTTTATTTTATTTTTGTATACTGCTCTTCTAAGAACATTTTTTCTGAAATATTTAGAACTGTTGTTCTTTAACTTTTTTTTTGTAATTTGGATTTTATCATTTGCACATTTTTCAGTGTGTCTTGTAATTTTTTAGAATGTTTTTTCACATTTATTAATTGAATTTCATGCTTCATTTCAGGCACATCACCTTTTGTTTTTTAAATTAAGCCTTGCATATTTCTTTATCGCATTCTTATATAATTTATGAAAAAGGTTTTCATATGGATTGTACTTGATTATACTTGTAAGTTAGGTTATTAGGAGAGAGCGACCACCGCAACAAATGTCTGTTGTACAATCTCCATCATTGTACAAAGCAGAAAAACCACATGACAAAAAATCAGGGCAAGGGAATCAACTTACTGCTGTGCTCAAGTGGCTTTCCTACATTCTCCCTATATGAAGCCAAGGAATGGCACATTTCAGTTAAATGAGAGCAACCTTTTTCTACATCCCAAACACACAGCTTACACACAGGATACCACTTCTTTTATTTAGTTCCTCCAACAGCCATCTATCAACTGCACTGTGCTCTTACCATAGAAGCTTCTATGCTGGCCCAGCCCAATGTCTTGACACTCAGAGGGCCAGATCGCATTGGTAATCTCTGGAGGTTGAAACATCCCCTCAGCCCCCTTGTCCACCTTTTTGTTAGTTTCATTAAAATCTGTTACTCTTTTTTCCTTATCCTCCCCTTGTAAGAAAAAATTGCAAGTTTCTATAATATGTTTGCAGAATAGACAACCCTCTCCTCAGGTATGGAACATTCTTTTATTTGATTGAAATCTGGGGTTTGGTAATTTCTGATCATTCTGGCGTGTTTATCCTCGCTGTTTTGGTCTGGCAGATGTGTTAAGCTTTTGCGCTCTTCAGTGTTGGGTTGTGTATTTTACTTAGTTGAAACACATCGGAGAGAACAAACCAACAAGGAGGAGACATGGATGATGTAAAACAATTTTGTACTATTCGGAGTTTAAAATGTGTTTTTGTACCTACGAAAAATATAGTGATCCAAAGGGATTGGACCACTTTCATCTGTTTTGTTTCGCTAATTTCTTAAAGCCGATGAGATTGAATTTTCTCTTCCAATTTTAAATAACTACATTTTTCAAATTTTGGTAGAAACTTTATTTTTTATTTTATTTTATTGAACAAGTTTTTTCTATTATGTAGACTTCGGTAAGTCTTGCTTTAAACACTGCAGTTCTAGTCTAATCAGCATGAATATTCATCTTTTATAGTTGATTCCTGTCCAAATCTTCAAAATTCTTTTGTAATAGCCTAAAAATTGCAAGTTAGTAGTAGTAGTAATAGTAACTGCACCACCAGAAGTTATTTCATGTGGGTGCGCGGTAGCTGAGTGGTTAGTGTGATAGACTCTTGGCTCGTAGACCATCGTAGGTCTTTAGTTTCATTCCAACCATCCCCTCTGGGCTTTTTTTCCCTTTCTATTTAAATTAATTCATTAATACAATGCATTGCCAAATACATACATATCTTCCTTGACTAATATACTATAGTCCTGCACTAATGGTGCTATTAATTAAAATGCTGAAAAGGAAAAAAATTGAAAGTCTTTCACTTAAAATGAATATTTTGATAGTACTATTTTATGTTAACAAACATGATTTGTGATATTTGATGAGGTCTATGAGGTAAAACAGTTTCTTAATCATCCTCGATCATCTCATCGTTCAAGGCTACAGAAAAATAACTGAAAAGTTGAAATATGAAAATAGGTCTGGAAAACAAAACCAACACAATAAGCTGAACAAGGATAGTCTAATCACCATAAATTAATCCATAGCTAATAATTTAATAATAATGAATCTTTTCTAGAATATTTTTAAGCATTTTAAACTTTTTCTGTAAGCTTCGGCATGATTTGTAACATTGCCTTTAAAGAATAAATTCAATTGTTTGTACTTAATATGAATATTGTCATAGCACCACTGTACAGTGCTATTTGTAATTTAAACCACTGACTTGATTGAAGTTTAAAATAGAAAACAAGAAAGTACATTTATTATTAGTTAAGAGTATTGTTTTACAGGGTCTGTTTTTGCTCAAGAACGTTATTTACATTCTGCTGTTGGCTAATGTAATTAAAAAGGTTTTGAGTCTGTTGCAGTGCTAGAGTGCATACGAGGTCACTAGCCATATTTTTTGTTTTGATATAACTTCCAGTTTTGAATTGATTAAATTCATCTTGGAGCGATTCGTGAAATTGAAACAATTGCTGCCTCTGTGTACGAAGGGTGTGCATATCATTTGCATATTTTTGGTATTCCTCTTGGGACAAAACTTGATCCCTAAGACGCCTTTTTATAAACTGTTGCCTTTGCAGGTTTTGTTCGAGATGTACATGGATTTTCTGCTGGGTTTTAAGCTTTTTCAGATTTGCTTCAGCCATTTTCCACTCTTTTGTGTCAGGTTGGTTTTCTTCTAATAGTAACATTTGTTGCTGTTGTTGTTCTATGTTTCGGAGAACGCTGTCGTTGAGTATTTCCAGTGAAATATCAACTTCACTTGTTACACACGATGCTGACTTTCTTCTCTTACTTGGAGAAAAAGTGGCGCTAAGCAGTTCACTCAAGATATGCAGCTGTTGCTGAATAACGTTTTGAACTTGCTTGTTGTAATGCTGCTGTTTTTCGAGGCTGTCATATGAAATATTTTTTTCGTAACTTTGAAAACTGCATTCCATCGACTGACGGTAAAATATTTCCTGCTCTTGCTGAAGCAGTTTGTACAACTTCTGCAGGTTAAACAATGTATCATGAATTTCTACTTTCTGCTTTGACGAAAGCTCTTCCTTCCTTAGACGGTCTTGAAAACGGTTCTGCCACTGAATATTTTCTTGTAGCATTTCTTTGACATGATTCTCCTGCTTTCTATAGTTATAAATCATCTTGTTCAGTAGTGAAATATTGGCATGATTCAACATTCCTACAAGGATAGTTTAGTTTAAAAACTTAATGAAGCTATCCATAAATCTATATTGAATAATCGAATCTACAACACAATTTTATGAGCAAATAAAAGGAAGAACATGCTTCGTTATGAAGATAGTGCGATGAGATAGAAAAAATAGAGAATAACATGTGGAATGTTAAATTGAGGTCTTCATTTTTTGCCAGGTCTACGGTTTGAACCCTACTAATCATCTTGGTCTGCCTTTTCTCGTTGGTTTGGTCTGTCAGACGTTTTGAAACTTTGCCACCTTTCTATGTTTATAAAATTCATTATTAATAAATTACCTATTGCATAGGCTCACTGAAGATGGATGCTGAAATACATCTGACAGACAAACCCTTTGAGAACAGGTAGACCAAGGATCAAATTTAACAGTGCAATGGTGTTTTAGACAAACTTTTAAATGAGGTGAACATTACATAAAGCTAAATAATTAAAGATCGTTGGACTATATATTCTGTGTACAAAAATTGTCAAAAATATTTGTGATTTTGATTTTATCTATGAAGAAAATATTGTGGTGGGAAGTCTGCCATCACCAATTTCGGCATCAAAAAAATCCCAAGCTCATAGGCCAGATTAAAAAAGTCATCCGGACTCATTCAGGCTTGGGGATGATGTGCGGTAACACCTTTCGAGTTACGAATAAAATAAGATAGTTATCATTAAAGCAATAAAACGGGTTTTAGTACTGCTGTAAAGATTGAGTGTAAAAAAAAAAAAAAAAAACAATCATTGCAAATTCGATTACATGTAAGTTACAAATTTTACCCAATGTAGCTTCCTATGTCAGTTTTTAAGTTTTAAAAATATTGTCAAAAACTTGTAAATAACAATGATATTGAAATAACATCTGAAAAAAAGTGTTCTCTAAAACAATATTTAAGATGGATTTTAAACAAAAGAAAATAATTGATAATTTTTTTTTTCAAATTTTTTTTGCAAGGATTTGTTTTTGGATATATGAAAAAGTTTTAACACACAACAAACCTATATTATTTTATTTTGATCACTTGTCCATTGGAACATTGATATGTATCGGTTTCGTTAAATCACACAATGTTAATTTACTATATTTATCAATTTGTACAACTTAAAAGCAAATATTCACAATTGTTATTGTTACCCATGAACGATCCTTATGCTCGACTGTAATGACCTTAAAAATATTTAAATTTTTTATACATTTTAAGGAGTCAATGATAAAACATGTACGTTTTAACATACTACAATAAAAAATAAATATTGAAAATTAATTCCAACAGAGTCATAAAATATCTGAAAAATCTAATATTTATTTACAAAATAGATTTTTAGTTTTGGTCATCAAAAGAAAATGTTTACAATTTGTTCAAAATAAATTTTAAAGTTGGATTTTGTCAACATTTTTTATTGTATTACATCCGTTTTTATATTTAAAGCATACTTTTGATACTGTCAAGATGTGCATGTTTTACATATTTTCATGCTATAACATTCATCATTTTGTGATGAATATACATTATTTTTTGTGCATTTTTACATAGACAGCATATTGTGCAATATCACACTAAAATTGTAAACATACACCTAATCTGGACTAGATTCTACATAACAAGAGCTCTGTTCCTCCACCATTTTATCTTTTTTCTTCTTTAACAAACATAAAAATAAATATCTCTGGTGAAAGTTTATAAGTACATATTCAAATAGGCCTAGCGAGAAATGCCGCAATTTGAAATTATCAATAAAATGGTTAAAATAAAACTAAAAGAAAAGAATGATAATTTACAGAAGGAAAATTATATTACAACAGGCTATGTACAAAAGTAAAACTTTCAAAGACAGAAAATCTAGCGAAATGGCGTTAGCTCGAGGGTGGGTCTAGTTAGTTTAGATGTTCAGATTCTCCGGCCTGGTGCTGAACAGTTGCTTTATAACAGACTCATCGGCAAGTGTGGATGTGTCCCCAACATCCCTGTCGTTAATGGCTATTTTCCTGAGAATCCTTCTCATAATTTTGCCTGAACGAGTCTTCGGCAATGCTGGAGCATGGTGGATAACATCAGGCATGGCGAAAGGACCGATTTTCTCACGAACTGAAATGAAAAATTGATTTTGTTTTTTTTACGCTGAATTCATAGTAATTAGAAAGCGTACAAAATTATATTAACACATAACGAGATAATTTGATCTTTACTAATAATCTTGGTCTGTTTATCTTCATTGGGTTGTCAGACGCGTTTCGGCCATCTTCAGTGTGCCTCCAGCAATATATTTTATTGCCGACCTTATAAAAGAGATTTGACTTCACAAAAATCACACAGCCTTAACACTGAAGATGGCAAAATGCCCCCCCCCTCAGTAAAGATCAAATTAGAAAAGAAACTCTCATGAAATTAGAAGATAAAATAATTTAAATTTGAAAAAAAAATTTGTCACACATAAATCAAATTATATTAACGAAACTGATTAAATTGTTAAACGTGATAAAAATAAATTATAATTAAAATTTTCAAACAATACCTTTAGTTTTGAGTTGTGATGCAAGAACGTTGTCAAATTTGGCACCGACATTTGGTGTTATGAAGCAATAGAGACACTGGCCTTTGATAGGGTGAGGCCTAGATACGACTGCTGCCTCTGCGACGTCAGGATGCTCAGTGAGAACAGATTCAACTTCCGCAGTGCTCATCAGATGGCCAGATACATTGAGCATGTCGTCAACCCTTCCTGTGACCCAGAGGTAGTTATCAGCATCCCTCCTAGCACCATCTCCTGTGGCGTAGTAGCCTGGAAACTTTGAAAAGTATGTCTCCTCGAAGCGGGCATGATTGCCAAAAAGAGTCCTCATAATTCCTGGCCATGGACGTTTGAAAACGAGATAGCCCTCACCGGGGCCTTCTATCACTCTGCCTTCTTCGTCAAGCAGTTCTGGTTCAACTCCGAAAAAGGGCAATGTCTAAAACAATAATGTAAAAACAGTTTAGTGAATTGACAATATTTCAAAATAAATAAGAGGAAAATACGATATATCGATCAACAGCTTACATCTCAACAAAATTACAAATATTGGCATAGAAAAAAAATTGAAATTAACGAAATATACGCCCATCGTACCAAGATAAAGATTGGCATTTGCTAAATAAAAAAGTTACAAGATGTATACACTCAAAAATATTTATACAATTAAAATTGAGCACATGAGTACTATTTGTCATACTGTATCACCAAATCTTTGATTATTTTTGGGTACTAAGGTTATAAAATGAATTACTTTTATGGTCTGTACATTCTTTTATTATTTTCATATTGCCTGGTTAATTTTAAAGTTTAAATTCAGTTTGCTGTATTTGAATGTGTGTTTGAGTCAATAACTGCAGAAGAATTTTTGAAATTGCTCTTTGATGCAATGAAATCTTAAGACTTTTCACATTGCCCTTTAAGAAAATTAAAATTTGATTACTTAAACAAGTTCTGTATGTAATGAATTGAAGATGTAACATTTTAGAATTATTCTTCTATGATTTTTGCCACTTTTGCATGTGCAATTTACATAATAATAGTTTACAGTTAATTAAACGTACTGCTGATCCTGGTTTCATTGGCGTACAACCGGGGAGTGGTGTCAGGACGTGGCCACCCGTCTCCGTTTGCCAGAATGTGTCTACAATGGAACACTTCCCCGATCCAATGACATTGTAATACCACATCCATGCCTCTCTGTTAATCGGTTCCCCGACTGACCCCAGGACTTTCAGGCTTCTAAGGTTATGTCTAAAAACACCCAGAACAATTGTTAGCAACTGCTAAATGAATTTTGGGAAAATTTCCATTACTTTTTTACTGGTTCATCTCCAAATTTCATCAATGCTCTTAGAGCAGTAGGCGCAGTATAAAACTGATTGACTTTGTATTTTTCTATCACAGCCCAAAATCTATCATTGTCAGGATGGAATGGTGTACCTTCAAACTAAAATGAAGTGTTAGTTATCATTTTATCAAATATGAACAGAAATAGCTTTAATCTTACAATGACACTGGTAGCTGCATTTGCCAGTGGACCGTATACAACATAAGTGTGTCCTGTGATCCATCCAATGTCAGCAGTACACCAGTAGACATCATTGGGGTGATAATCAAAGACGTATTTGAATGTTGTTGCAGCGTACAGCAAATATCCACCTGTCGTGTGAAGTACACCTTTTGGTTTCCCTGTAGATCCACTATAATTCACATAATTTTTTTATTAGAATATAGTTTGAAAAGGAATATATTCGATAGCATACCTAGTGTAGAGCATAAAAAGGGGATCTTCAGCTCCGACCCAGACTGGATAGCAGGAGGGTTCTGCATCTTCCATTTCTTCATGCCACCATAAGTCTTTGTCGTCATTCCAAGGGACCTTGATTTAAACTTTTAATAAAACACCAAGCTTCAAATACAAAATACTTTAGAACTTACATTGCATTCTGCTATTTTTACTGCAGCGCCATTTGTACAATTCATCGTCGCACTTAGTCTTGGAAGATGCCTAACAACTATGCAATTATTGACTTTGTGTCCGAGAGATTCTGACTTTTTAAGACCTAAATTCAGTTGTAACATTAACACCCTTCTAATAAAAAACAATATATGTTGATTAATAACAAACCTTGATCACAGATTTCTTTGAGCTTTAGTAGTTTTTCGCCTCTCCACACAAAATCGGTAGTAAGGAGTATTTTACATTTGCAGTCAAACATCCGTTCACCCAGGGAGTCGGACGAGAAGCCTGCAAACTGTCCAAAAACTTAGTCTGGTACAGTTCAGTTGATAAAAGTGCAAAAGGTACTTACGACTATGGAGTGTACAGCGCCTATCCTTGAACAGGCGAGCATGGCAATTACTGTTTCGAGTACCATAGGCATATAAATTGCAACCCTGTCGCCTTTTGTTATTCCTCGCGATATAAGGACGTTGGCAAACCTGCATACTTCCTCTAACAGCTTCTTATATGTAAGCCTGCTGTAATCGTCTGGGTCGTTTCCTTCCCTGCAATTCACACACACCTTAAACAAGTTATAAACCAAAAGCAAATATTATTGCACATACGAAAATTTAAAATTTTCAAAATCATTATTAATTCTTAATCACTGTATTGTATTTGGTGTAATTTCTGATATAATCTTATGAAAGTAATTGTATATATTTGCAGGTAATTTGTAATAATGTAAATCCTATAAGTAATTCATGTTACGTAATGTTATTTTGTTTTTTAAACTTTTTCTCATTTTACTTTTTAATTGGCCATTTAAACAATAGTTTTGTAATGACTTGCATTAAAATTATTTAATTATCAAAGATTACTTAATGAAAGTAAATCCTGGTAATAAGCACAACATGACAAAAATATAAATTTAACAACAGTTTAACTTAAAAAAAGCTAATAATTATTCATAAACTTAAAATATTTTATCTATTAGCTGTCTTAAACTTAAATTATTTAATATATTAACTGACTATTGTGGGAAAATAGGATATTATAGTGGCAAGAAAACATTTTAGTCCATGGAAAAAAAAAATAAAATAATTTTGAACTGAAAATTCATGTTTTATAGTTATCAATTAAACTTGTAAGATTTCATAATTAATTATGGCAGCAAAACAAAGGATGGGAAAGGATACATTTGAATATATTTGTATACCAGATTTTTTATTATTTTTTATTTTGATTAATGATCATAAGAAAGATGATTTGGGAAATGAAAGATTTGGGGCTGACAGAAAGCTTATTTCTGTTAGAAACATATTGCTTGATTCTTTTAACTTTGATTATAGATATATGCAAAATTTAAACCTTTATTGATTATTGATTAAAGTCAGGACAAATCAAGACTACAGGGAAAAAATAAATTGGGGTTGCCATAAAATTTTCTACTCAGGGAAAACGATAAAAAGAATACCAATCAATTTTAAACATTTACAAATCCTTGATTTATTATTAAGACGAATAAAGGCAATATATGCAGAACACGTTTCATGATGTAAAATTTCTAATTTGAAACAGAAACAAAAAACAGAAAATTTCAACAAATGAAAACAACTTGATTTTTTATCAGTTTGCCATTTTGTCTTGTTCTGAGACATCCCATGTTACTTCTTTTTTGTTAACAATTTTTGTTTTGTTTAGTCTTACCTAAATATTTATTATATGATAAAAAGTGCCAATGTATGAGGTTAATTTTTAAGTTTGGTCAGATAGGAAGATTTTTAATCCTTGTCATAATTTTGAATTGGCATTTCTTTTATATTGTCTGTTAAGGGAAATTTTGGTTCTGTCATAAAACTTATATCTTTTATTTAATGAACAATACTAGAGCCCAGAGCCAGGGGTTGCAACGGTTAAGATATTGGCACAGCGGCTCTTCACTGTAAGTGTTGAGCTGGTCTAAATTGTAACCCTTTGACTAAGAAAAATATTAAAAAATACAAGCTTTCTGGGGGTACTAAAACTTCTGGAAGGATAGCTCATAAAACAACAAATTCTTACAAAGATTAAGCATCACTGTACCCTGAAGCATTGAACTTTGAATCAATTGCTATAAAATGGTCTAACAAAAAAATTTCAAATTTCTCTCTGATGATTTTACTTTGGTTGGGTGGTCTAGTAGTGATGAACAGTAGTGGTTGCTTTTTGTGAATATTTGTAATTCATATCAGCTCCATCAGATTCAACAATATGACATACGATTGCACCAGGGAAAAAACGAAGGAACCGGGTCAGGCGTTTTTTGTACAAGCCCAAATCATGAGCAGCCAAACTCATTGGGGAAGTTCAAGCTAAAATACATGCGATTAATGGTTGTGCCATTGAAAATTTTAAAAGAGGTTACACTGGCAAAATAATCCCCATAAGATTCGGTAGGCAAACAGCCATTAAAGCATTAGCATGTAGGTATTAAAGCAGCATGTAACAAATCACACCAAAATTAGTAGATGAATGCATCCAAAATCTCCAAAACCTGAGAAAATGTAACTGATGATATCTTGGGTACCAGGAAACGTTTTGGGTAATGAAAAAGCAGACATACTGTTAGGAGGCTCTGCAAGGCCATATTTAGGCTCTGGTCCTATTCTTGGGATAGCAAAAACAAACTCAGAATCCTCCATCACAGAATGGATCCAAAAAAGGCAAAAGAAAAAATGTGTAAACTCTAGAGGTGATAGATACAGTAAGCTTATGTTAAAACAACCCTCTACTGGTAATCTCAGTGGGTTAGAGAAGGCTAAACTCTGAGGATTGATAGGACTGGTGATTAATATCTGAGGAAACATCTACACAATGTGGGCATAGTCAATGATGACCCCATTTGCAGGTTAGGCAATGAGAAGGAAGAAACAGTCACTCATCGTTGAACACGAAGCTACTGCTTAATGGAGATATAACCGAAGTTACAAAGAAAATGCAAGGGAAAGGAACATCTTAAGAGAAAGATCAAGTGTGAAACCGAACTAAGGAACTAGGAAAGTACTTTAAACCAGAAGACTGCAGTGCTTGGGGTACAAAAAAAACCCGCTTCCTAGTATCCATGACCATCATATCATCTCAACATCATCACATGCAGATATTTTTGTATGGCATGTCCACTTAGCTGGAAGTAATAGCTAAGGTGATATTTCATCAGCAATGATGAATAGTCCAAGAATAAATTGCAAAAAAAAAAAAATAAATAAATAGCATCAATTGATCAAAATATTGGGTACATTATAGTCTTTTTTTTAATGACAATTGTAAAAACAGAAAGTGATCAATCGTGATATCTTAAAATGAAGGAAATATAAGTAATAATTTTTCTATTGTAAAACAGTGGAAGAATGTGCTCTTAAAAATATATATCTCCTGATAGTTTTTCGAATGTTTTTGTTTTATTTTTTGGCTATTTTTATTTTTTGTGAGAAATTCCAATTTGAGACTGGTATGACCATTAAAGCTGGAAGTGAAAAGGCGTCCAATTATTTTTAACTATCAACAACCCACGAGGGTTTATTAAAACGAGAGTACTCGGAATGCCATTTCCAAAGGGAATTTAATAAAAGACTTCATCCTACATCGTAAGCTTCCAGAGAATTGGAGGTCGTGACCCAGTTTTTGGCAATCAATACCTTCTGCCTAAATATCACAAGTCTTCTCTGTACATCTCTTTCTTTTCCTTGTTCCAGAGTATTTCTTCCTGGTCGAACACGACTTTTAAATCGAGCCCGCGGGCCAAAAAGGTCCACTGTTAAAAAATTGCCACCGTCGACAAAATGGCTAACTACTGGACGAAACCACACGACTCCGAAGCATCAGCGTGTAATAATTTCTCATAAAGTGTTTCTTCATAATTGAAAATGTTTCTGTATTTAAAACAATCAACAACCATCAACAAAATCACAGTGATCTATGTCAAACATAAATCAAACAAATGCATGAAAAAAATCGCTGGAAGACTGCCTCCTCTCGAGTTACAAATATGTAAACATCTAGTTTTCATAAACTGGCAGAATGAAAATATCAAATATGATAAGTGAAAACAACAGAAAATGGTTCAATATATGCTCCATGGGGCAAAGTTAAAGATAGTTTTTACAATCAACCTTTACAGTAATTATCTGGCTCGTGTAAAATGATGAAATATATCAGATTAAAAAGACAGAATGAAAATATGCAATATGATCAGTGAAAACAACGGAAAAAGTTAAATATATTCTTCATGGGGCAAAGTTAAAGACAGTTATTTGTAGTTTAATTTCCGATCTTTTTTTTTTTTTTTTTTTTTTTTTTTTTTTTTTTTTTTTTATATGCTTCATGGGGCAAAGTTAAAGACAGTTATTTGCAGTTTAATTTTCGATCTTTCTGATTTTTTCTTCTTTTTTACAATCAACCTTTACAGTAATTATCTGGCTCGTGTAAAATGTTCAAATATATCAGATTAAAAAGGAGGCACGATGAGAAAGAAATAGACTACCTTGTGATGAGGAAGTATTCAAAATGGAACGCAGATTTCTACCCCAATGGGTAGCTAATGGACAACAAAAATCTGTACATATGATAATTTTGAGCTGATATGATGATGACTATACCGAAAGTTTTGATGAGAAATTTTGGTTAAGACCGAAAGACAAGTAATTTATATTTTTGATTAGCTATTTGATCAAATTAATTTTGAAAAGCTTACACGTTATCGATGTATTTTCACATGTCATCATGCTGTTTTTCGCCATGAATTTCGAATAGCTGATTAAACACAACTCGACCTGACACGTATCGTAAAAATTTGCGATGGAAATGTAATATATTTTAATTATAAGATTTTTCTCTAGAATACTAGGAAAATGGTACATTTAAAATTTCACTTTTCATCAGAGGGTCGAATGACCACCCTTCGAACAATTTTTTTTTTAAGTAAACTGATCGCTTTCCTCCTGCTTTGACCGATATAAATTCAGGCGAATTAACAAATTCATTTACACAGTTCATTAGAGCACGGTCTGGTGACGTAAGTTAAAGCATAAATTACTGAATACAATGCGCCTTCGACACGATCACACATTTCCAGCGGTGGAGGTCGTCTTGCTGTAAAAAAGCTATTTTCCTAATTTTTGCAAGTAATTCATCATAAAATTCTAAGGGTGTAGCTATTAAAAAGAAAATATACAACACAATATATTGAAGGGAAAGAGGCGTTCGTTAAAAATGCTTATGGTGTTTATGATTATTATCCACGCGGTTTAGGACAAGCCATGGAGGTTGAAATCTTCCCCCTAAGGGTTATCAAAATAATTTTGGAGAAAAAATTAATCATATAGAACATTTAAATATTTAAAATAGCTGATCACTTTAAAAATAAATAAAATAATTTAGGAAGGATATGAAACATAGGAAACAGATATGAAAGTTTCAAAATTGTCATGATTTACAGTTCTGTACATGTACAAAATCCGGTCTTATGTGATTTTAAGCGTTATTTTCTGTACTACACTTTTCAGATTAGAAGTAACATTTGATAAAG